GCGGCCGTGCTCCCCCTCCCCCACAGTGACGGAGCCAGTGCGGGAGCGGGACAGGCGCGTCATGGCAGAGGTGGCCACTGCGGGGACACAGCCACTGGCCTTAAATCGCGCCCCTTCCCCTCCAATCCACGCCCCTCTCTCAGTAGACCACACCCCTTTATGTAAACCACACCCAGGGTATACACGCTTTGCCATCATTTGAGTGGGAGAATTTAAGGGAGACAGAGACAGGCTGGAGGGAAACTCACAGCACTACACGAGGTATTAAGTCAGACGCAGGTTTTGATTTTCATGTCATTTAATAAGTTAAGCAATTACACAGCAATATAATTATTCTTCAAGGTTTACAAAGGTGCAAGAACTTAATTTACTCATACATAGTTTTATTTTCATTATTAGCTACACAGTTCCAATTCTTTCCCACTGGAACAATGTGCAGTCAAAATAATCCACCCAGACAGAAAGCATCAAAGTACAAAAAGAGCACACAGAAGGAGGGGCGCTAATTCAAAGTCCATGTGGGTATTTGGTCCGGTACCTTACAAAGCAAGGAGAGGTGATGTGGAGCAGTCATGCCTGTAGAAGGAGCTGTGCTATCACAAGCACACCTTTAGCAGAAGTGTGACCACCACTGTGACTGTTACTCTACCCTGAGACTCACCGTGACCTAGCAGTAGGGGAGGGGGGATGGAGAGAACACTGCAAAAGGACCACAAATGACAACCCTCCAAACATTCAAGCATCTCCTCAGCTACTCAAAAATTACTTTTCTAGATTTAGCAAACAATGACCCAAGAGACCTTTGCATCACTAAAGCAAAAAAAAAAAAAAAAAAAAAAAAGAACATTTGCCATATGCCCAGTTCTAGTCTAAAAATAGCATGTGCCCACGGTTTGAAAAAGTTTTCATTACATTCCCCTCCACTGAACTTGCTCTCCACCCAAATAGTCTCCCCTTGCTTTTCCTCATTTTAGTCAAGTTGCCTAAAACCCCACCCACAGCTGCATAAGCAGCATGAGGATGCTTGCAAGAGGCAGGAATTGGGCTTGTTTGCCCCTGCAGAAGTCTGTGCAAAAAAAATGGCTATGAATGCCACAGAAGCTGGTGCAGCCACTCTCCTGTCCCATCTATCAGCACTGCTGTCCTCAGTCACTCTGCACTGTTACCCGTATAGGCAGTTGCAGAGTATGCTCTAATTACAAGCACATGCAAACACACACCCATGCACCCAATTCCTCTGGCCTCAGACATCCATCATGCTAAATCCTATGGCACCTCAGAACACCGAGGATTTGAGGTTCTCTTCATTTTTTCCTGTGTCCATTTTCTACTGACTCAAGAGGATATCTCTCATGGGCCAACAGCAAGGGCTTTATGGATGACAAGACTCCTAAACAGCCTTGACTAAGCATAGGGAGAAGATGCATCCAGACAGAAATACACTTACAAGCATACTTAAAGCTTACAGCTAATGTTAATCTATTTTCTTCAGAGAAATAAAAATACACAGCATAGGTAAATTCTAGAAAAACTGTTCAGCCAAAATAGGAAGCAAACAAACAAAACAAAACAAATAGAACACACAAACAAATGAACAAAAAAAACCCAAAAAACCTCCAAGCAAACCAAAACTAACAAAAACTGAAAACAATCTCAAAAAATGCCTACTTTGGCTTCATTTACAACTGACTGCTCTGCTTATACAGCCAGTAGCAAAACAGAGCATCTGGAACGCAGGCCCTCATATGCAGGTTGAAGCCTCCATGCATTCAAGCCCACCGCTCTGCTATTCCTCTTCTGTCATATATTTGGTCAAGGACCAATTTCACAAGGTGCAAATAGTGAGCCTACCCTGAGAGAACAATCTGCCAACTGCAGATCATTTAAGCTTAAAAAGTTTGATGGTAGCCTGCGCCATTCATGGGGCTGCTCTGTGGTCCCAGGCATTACAAAATGCCACAGAGTCCACAGTAGCACCAAGGCAAGGGCACAGGTATCTGGAAGAAGTTAAACAGGGACAGTAGATTTCAAATAGCATTTCTTCTGTCCTAAAGCCAGAAACAGAAGTGGGGAGTAAACACAAAAGAGGTTTCTTAAAGCAGCCATTTTGTGGGGGGAAATTCCTGGGGACTTTGTCTTAGCAGCCTCTGGAGAACAAAACTCTACGTGACCTCCTCTTTCCAACTGAGAGGATTAGGACAGACAAATTGTTTCTCACACCAATAATCACACCTTCACCATGAGGCAGATTCATTACCATTCATGCCTTTTTGAGAAACCTGTGCTCGCATAGTCAGGACTAATAATACCAGCACCTAATGCCTGGTTGATGAAAACATCTCTGCAGGCCAGAAAGCAAGCCTTGTTCAAATAAGAAGAGGAAAGATCAACATGGTAAATGAGGAGCATATCAGAACCAAAAAATTTCCAATGCACACAGCAGACGCATGCCCTGCTATCCCTCTGTTCCTCAAATATGACTTTTGCCAAACACCCTGAAAAAGTCTGCACTTACAGAGAACATTCAAAAGAAGATAAAAGCAGCTCCTATGCTGTACAACTTTGAGAAGCAACAAAATGCCAAAAAAATACATCTCCTCTAGGAAACACAAGCAGATGTAGGACCTAATGTTTGGGGATGCGTTCTGTCAGGACTTGGCAACATCCCTTTCCTTTGCCAGCTGACTAACCAGATACAGATTTGCAGGACAATTTACTGTCGGTGATAAAAAACACTGCTAAAAATTCAAGGGAAGATATGCCCCTACTGGCATGCTTCCCATGTGACATTCATTTTGCCAAACACAGTGCAGGTGTCTTCTGCCACATCAAGTTCAAAATCAAAAACTGTACCTCCACTGCAAGTCACTGGCAGGCACAGCCTGGAGCCAGCAAACCAGGAACAAAACAGGAAAGCCACAGACATATGACAGGAACTGCCCATTTAACATGGCAAGAAAAGGTCCCCAAGGCCGGTGAGCTCGAGCTTCTGTTTTACTCCCTTTCTTATCACCTCCTCCTCCAAGCCAGACCAAAATATGCTGGTCAAGAATCTAGGTATGTGTTTGTCAGATACAAACCTTGCCTTTCCTGCCTCCAGTCTACAGCAACAAGGACAATACTGGCTAGCCTACACAGTCCTCCTTATGTACAAAAGCCTCAGATCCCTGATTCCAAAGAACACTGGTGACCCTCGTTGTTCATGTCCAGCCACTCTGCACCAAGACAGCTCAAGCTGCTCTTACAGTTTAAAGAAAAGAACATGGGACTATCAAATGAGAGTCACCACAGGTCCTTGATTAACCCAGAACTGAAGAGCCGCAGGCTCTTCCACTCAAACCAGAATTTCTAGTGCAAGGCTTCATAGCCTCCCACCAGAGAAGTGGGGCTGTCTGGGTTCAAATCTTCAAGGTTTAGTACCTTGAAATGGTGTTAAAACAGATAAATAAAATCCAAAAATGGAACATAAAGTACTGTCGCAGCTACGAGTCATAGAGGGTGCAAGAGAGAATACCAATTTGAAACCAAACTCTGAGACTTGGGGAACAAGAGTGTGCCTGAGAAGGACAGCACGGCATGTGACAGAACCACACCAACCCAGCAAAAGAAGGCTATGTGAAACGAGTGGCTGGATTGCTACAGGCAAGTTACAGGCAAGTTCAAATAGCACTGTAGCACAAACCAGTCACTCACATCAAGGAAAACGATCCTCAGCGAGAAAGAGTGAGTTCTCTGACATCCATAGCACATGGAAGTGCAAAGCCACAGTGTCATGCGGACAAGGAAAGAAGCAAAGGATAAAAGACATGACAGAGCCTGGGGTTAACAAAAACTCCCAGACCAAAACAGATGTATAGGTTCCCGGTCAGCCAGCTGAACCAATACAATTTTTCAGACTCATACATGCCCAACCATGTGAGGAATCAGCAGGAAAAATAGCCAAGAGTCCCTCCTCCAAGCACACACTGGCACTTTCAATTACACTCTTGCAACTCTGGCCTTCCCCACCTGTACAAACATGCAAGAAACAGCCGCCTGTACATCCTTTTGCTGCAGCACACCGAACATGTTCTGGTCCTTGGAGATGGCACATGGCAGCAGTATCGGCAAATCAGGATTTGTCCTTTCAAGAAACACATTTTACCCACGCCATCAAGAGAACTGCTTTTTCAGTTGGCAGCATCCTGCATAAGGAAGGGCAACAGATACCACCACAGGAGGTACTCCAGCAGAAGAGCAGAGCTAGAGAATCCAGTCAGGCCTGGGAAAGAGCTCTTCTGTGAGGTTTTTCCTCCCCTCTGTCCCACCTCCTTAACTCAACAACCCACAGGAGAGCAGAGGCTTTCTCTCAAACCAGGCATGTTGACAGGGCATGAGCATTTCTCCAGAGCATCATTATGTGCTAGGTGAAGGGAACTTCTGGGGATATTTGTGTATGGGCCAGGAGATCGGACAACTGTTTCTCTACGACAGTCTCCTCCTGCATAGGGATTCGAATTATTTTCCCTTGTACGCCTCTCCCTCCCTGTAAATGCCCTGTTTGAACAGGGTGGATTGTGTTTGCAAGAAGAAAGGAAATAACAAATGCAATCTACTAAAGGGAACCCATCAGTGATAACATGTAAACTCTTGCCTCTTTCTGCCACGTGCCTTCAGGCTCCCCATCAGATTTTCACTGCCTTCCTTGCCTTACTCTTTGCCATCCACCCCCAGCACGGTGCCAGTCCTTGGCACGAGAACCACGACAGCACGAGACTGGACGCTTGGCAGGTCTGGAAGACAGCCTAGTAGCCCTTTGGCAACATCATCAACCTCCCCCAAGAGTAAGGAATATGCTCATACAGTAGCTGGTGTGTGGATTCAGTATAGGCCCTTCCCTGTTCAAGAACAAGGAGTGTTGTGTCACAGAGTGGCTGCACAGGGTGATAGAACCAACAGCACTGACCAGGCACTCTTAGCCACTGCACAGGTTTTCGTAGAAGCCCAAGCCCTCGCAAAACTTCCTTCTTCTTAGAGACTTCTTCCTTCACCAACACAGCACGGAAAACAGGGGTTCCTCAGTGCTGTCTGAAGGAGACTGTTCCAATGGCAGAGACAGATGGAGGACTGAAACTCTGACAGCTGTCCTCTGACAGCTCACAGCCCAGGAACACATCACCCTGCAGCACACCTCAGGTTACAGCCTCTGCACCAAGCACAAGCAATAATAGTGTTTAGATCAATCATCAGTGGCTGCATCATTCTCTGTCACTAGAAGAGCTGAGTGAGGCTACATGCCACACTTCTCAGGACTGCAGCTAACCCAGTAGCTTCTTGATTTTAACTCTGGAGAGACTTGGCCCCTGTTTCCATGAGGCACCTGATGATGCCAGACGTCTACACACACCAAGTCAATTCTGCAGTTCCAGGGAACCCCAGGGAGATTAGCATGCCACCTGGATTTTATGGGAGAGCACAGTGGGGTGCAACAAGCAGAGAAGGCTAAGCCAAGGCAGCCAAACAGCCTAAGTCCTGTGTTTGCCACCTCCGCTCCCAAAATGGTGTAAAGCACTGGGGTGTCTTCCCTCAGCCAGGGTTGAAAAGAACTGGACTGCAAGTCACAGATACCATGGAGTGGGAAGACAAGAGACTAGAAAACGATCTCTGAGAAATCTTTCCAATGGGCTTCTCTCTCCTTCAGTTCTCACAAACCGATGTGTTGTCACTACCTTTGGGTTTGGATTTAGACTTGAAGGAGAAGCGTTTGATGAGGCGGCGAGAGAAGCTACCAGTTTTCTTTCTGGTGGTGGAGTTGGCAGTGACATTGGACAAGTCATCGTGTGACTGGCTCAGGCCCACTTCCTTCTGCTTGCTCCTCCTCCGGAAGATGAGCTTGGTACCACTCCGAAGAAAGCTAACTGCAGAAAGAGAAAGGAGACAGAAACCATGATAGCGTCCTGCACTGGTGAGTTTCAGGGAGAGCAACACACCCAGACATTCTCGGATTTGCAGCAGTCCTCTTCTGCACTGAGCGGCAGAACTACACAGCAGGTCAGCTAATCCCAGCTTCCAAACACAAGGCAAAGTCTCAGTTCATGACAGACTGCAGCACCAACAAGCTGCCTCATTAAACATTCCATCCCATGTCCCCTCTGCATAAGCTTCCTTTTACATAATGTCCTTCTCTCAGTGGCAGCATGCAGCATTTTAAATGAAAGCCAAGACTCATATGAATAGAAAACAAGTGAGATCATCTGAACCTGAAGACCCTGAGAGGAACATAAAAGAGGGAAAAGGCCTCTCAGACCAGCCTGTCTCAAGGGCACACAGATTAACTTTGTCATCTAGTGCCTAGAACAACTGCCTGCGTTTTCATGACGTGCCAATCTGGAGGCAAATAATGCCAATGGCTCCTTGTGACTCCCACAAGCCGGAGAAGATGGAGATGCCAACTGCTTTCAACCTCAAATGGATCAGAAAGACACATCCAAAACCTGCATGCCATATAACACAACATATAATACAACGGTATTTCCTGCAGAGTGTCTGCTTTCCATTTTACCTCTCTTCCCCACCTGCTAGCTCTGTCAAGAATATGGGTCGCACACCCTTGTACCCACTGACATTCAAAAAGGGGACCTCCACAGCTCAAACCATACTTGGTTGTAACAGGTATGTTACAACCTCCCCAGAATTTGTCCCACTCTAATATTGTGAGCAATCAAGATTTTGATTTGCATTTCTTCATGTACGTTGGTAGCACAAAAATCCAAGGTGCGCCATCTACATAACTGACTAATGTGTGGAAAGGCTAGGAGAATAGCTAGGTTGGAGCAGCCCACTCCACCATGTAAAAGAAGTGATTTTGTTTGGACATCTTACAGTATGACAGGTTAGAGGCACTAGCTGCTTCGATACTAATGGAGAAAGAAGGAGGGCAATCAAGACCCATACAATCCCTATTGCTGGGCGGCCTCCATTTCAACACCACAAGTGGCCCAATTCAGAGGATGAATCATTACTTACAGACATGCACCTGGATCTGCGTGGGACCAGGGAGAGGCCAGGGAGAGAATAAGCGGTCCTCTGTAATACACAGGCTGCTCAGGGCTCCCATCTAAGAGAGCATAGAAACTTAAAAGACTACAGGAATCAGACACCTACAAATGAAGGCGTTTCAAATCACTCCAGTGGAAAAACCACAAGAGAAAGGCAGGCGCTTCCAGGCTCCATCAGAGGCTGCTCTTTGCTATGCTGAAAGGTGACTGCAGACCCCATGCTTGGATGACAAACTTGGATGTCACTTTGTCCTCATGTACAGCTAATGTTACAGGCTCACGTTAGCTACCCTATCTAACAGTTCATCCTTACCTTTGTGATCTTTCAAGCTCCTCGTCTCAAGGGCTCCCATGGAGCCAGTTTCAGACTCAACATCTTCCATAGATGGTCTTTCAGAAATGTCTGATCGCGTTGTCTCATCCAACTCCTGACTGTCCCTTTGTCCCAATGGTGATGCTTCCAGTGGCCTCGACAATTCGGTAAAATCGTGCATCTGGCCAGCTGTGCCCTCTGCCTCAGAGTCCCCATATGCTGTGGCCTCCAGAGATGCGGCATAACCCAGAGAAAGTGCCATTTCATCTTGAGCAATAGGTACCTGATGGGGTGTTAGAGGGGCAGACAGACATGAAGACAGGATCAAAAGAATTGCATTCATCTCCCTACTTCCATCTACACCTATATACAGATGGCCCAGTTCAGATCATCAGTGCTAGATAGCACCGATGGACAATTCTTGGCTGAAATATACTGGAACACGGCCAATTAAAAAGCATTCTGCCGCACGTCCCTCACTCCCACAGCTATGTACAAGGAGAACTCCTTATATTCTCCACAAGATTCAAAACAAGTTACAGCAGCCACATCCCTTTCTGCAGCTACCCATTGTGAACTCCCTCTGGCAAGCTACCTTCTAATGCTCACTGGGAAGCAACTAAAGGATTCTGATGAGCCAGTCATCTGTGCTGGAACCTTCCCACACTGGTCCGTGCAGGACAGCTTAGTTTCACGCATGAATCCCTAAAAACAACCGCCCCGACTGGAAATGCAGCTCCTAACTACCAGAGACCTTGGACACTCCTGAGATGATCAGTGTACTCCGTTTTGTTGGCGTCTTCTTGGTGGTCTTGGTATTCATCTCAGTTAGCTGCCTGATTGCTGTCTCGGCCACTGGATCCAAGCCATTAGGCATATGGCTATCCCCTGAGCACAAGAAAAATACAGATGCTTGGAGAAGCAATCTTCAACAGAGGCAAAAGATTGCTTGCTGACCGCAATGCTTGCAATAGGCAACTTACATGCACACTAACGTAATTTCCCCACCCAGAGTTTATGACAGACTTGTCCAAATAAACAAAATGAAGGAAGCTCTGTATAGATAGCTCTTGGCTTTTTCAAGTACCTGAAAAGTATCTTTTCCCACCAGGCATGTCATTAAAAAAATCCACTCCACCCCACCCCGCTCAACAAAGACTTCCAAAGACTCCCAGTAGTTTGCTTTCACAGAAAACTGTCAGAACGACTGCAGTGCTCTGTTCTGGACGCAATCAGAGCCCCAGCTGCAGGGTGAGCAAAGTTCTTTGGGTCCAGATCGCCTAGAAAGATCTTGTCAAGCATGGAAACACTTATAGTCACTGACTGGATAGTCAAAAGGGAATGTCTTTTACCTGCCAACACACCACCACCACCAGCCTTCTGCCCCCACCTTCATTCAGGTACTTGGACATTCTCTGAAGCAGAAAATGTAAGCGAGTTCAGGGAACTGCACTCAGACTGCCACTTTCTACAACAGGCTAAGGAACACGCTTACTTCAGTAGGAGCCTCAAATTTCCAAGCACTTACGGCTACTGCTGGGCAAGTGGCTGTGAGGACAGCCAGTCTCCAAGAGCACTGTTGTCTTCTTTTCAGTCACTTCCACTTTGGAAGGCGACCTCGATGGTGAATCTTCACAGCAAAAGAGACATGGAGATACAACTAAGCGAAGACAGAGCTTACACAACTATGCTATCATATTGTGCCCCCTACACACAACCCCAAAAAGCCTCAAGCGAGCATTCAGAGAGCCTGCAAAGCACCTCTGAAAGCCTTTGTGGCAAGAAAGCAGTAAGAAGCCTACTGGGAAAAAAATCAGAATCATGGAATGGTTTGGGTTGGAAGGGACCTTAAAGACCACTTAGTTCCAACCAGCCTGCCACTAGACCAGGTTGCTCCAAGCCCTGTTCAGTCTGGTCTTGAAGACTTCCAGGCCTGGGGCAGCTAAAGGTTCCCTGCGCAACCTGTGCCAGTGCCTCTGCACCCTGAGAGGGAAAAATTTCTTCCTAATGGCTAATATAAATCTACCCTCCTTCAGCTTAAAGCCATCCCCTCTTGTCTTAACACTGCATGCCCTTGTAAAAAAAATCCCTCTTCAGCCTTCCTGTAAGATCCCTTTTAGATACTGGAAGGCTGCTTGCTATAATGTCTTCTCAGAGCCTTCTCTTCTCCAGCCTAAGTATCTCCAACTTTCTCAGCCTTTCTTCACAGGAAGTGTTCCAGGTATGTGGTCAACTTAGTGGTCCTCCTCTGGACTCACTCCAACAGGTCCATGTCTTTCATGCATAGGCGGGGGCACAAGACTAGACACAGTACTCGAGGCAGAGTCTCACAAGAGCAGAGCAGAAGAGGAGAATCACCTCTCTCGACCTGCTGGCCATGCTTCTTTTGATGCAGCCCAGGATATAGTTGCCTTTCTGGGCTGCAGTCCTGTGAAGCAGATGCACAGCAATACCTCATTTGTGTCATTTCCCAGCCTGACCTCTTGGAATATCCAGCACCACATTCACCAGGATGCCAGACCACAAGCAGCAACAACCCCTAGTAAGCCAAGTCAACAAGCTTTTGGCTCCACATCCAGTATGTTCAGTATAACTTCTTTAGCAGCGAAGGAACTAGAGAAAGCATGGCTAAACACTGAGCCTGACATCATGCAGAGGTTATATGGCAGCAGATGCATTAGACCTCCCACTACCAAAAGGCTGTGTGAGAGGCTCATCCCTCCCTCACCTCCCCTCAGACAGAGAGCTGCATCAGTTGTCTTCCCTAGGGCTACACAAGTTTCCAGCCAGCCATGAAGATGCTAGGGGAACAGCAAGGATGCCCATGTTCCGACTCACACGCCAAAAGCAATACATGAAGCGTGAGACTGAAACAACCAGATGTGATGGCTCAACAGTTTTGCTACTGCCTTCATGAGCAGCCATGGGAATATCACAGCTGTGCTGCCATAGGAGCTACCTGTACAATACACCTGCTGCTGCGCAGCCTCACCCAGTTTGCAGTCTGCCTTGGGCCGGGACTGAATTGTGGTGACAGTAGTCACGATGGTGCCATCGGGCATGATGGTCCGGTCCATCTCCACTTTCTTAGTGGGGGTAATGCTGGTTCGCGGAGATGTGGCGTGTGGAGCATTCAAAGACGCAGGAGGCTCCTGGAACAGCAGCTATAAAGAGTAAAGCACTGCTCAGAAAGGTGCTCTCCTTCCCAGATGGAAAGGCAGGCATGTTCAGGCAAGAAAAACTAGGACTCTGGGCACCAAGGAGCCATCCCCAGTACAGTATCAGTTCAACAGGGGGAGGCTTAGGGACCGAGGGTCAGGTGACACACACTCCTCCATGGCATAAGGGTCTGCTAGTCCTCTGTGCCAAGCTCAGGTACAAACATACATGTCTCCAGCTAGAGGCTCACACTATGAACACTTACGGAGTGTGTGTGTGTGCAGAGCCTGTGGGGTCATGAGCTCACCTCCAATGTAATGGTAGCTTCAGCTGTCAGTGACTGTCCAGCTCCAGGGGCCAGTGAGCAGACCTGTCTCCCAGATGGCTGTTTGCCCAAAGAATCTATCAAAAGTGTGGCATATGCCAGCAGCACATCTGCAAGAAGGAAGAGTAAAAATGAAACGCTTCACATGACCTCAGCACCTCAGACATCTCCAAGGTAACCCCTGCTTTCGAGCAGCAGCCCTATGGGCCAACACAGCAGATCCCCACAACCCCCCACTAACTACCAGGTTCAAGAGGGAGAAGAGGCAGGCAGTGCTCCTCTGCTCCTCTTTAACAATTCAGAAATCAACTCCCTTAAAAAGGTGACCACTGTGTGTGGCCTCCATCAAAAACAGATGCTGCAGTTGGTCCTCGACTGAGTACAAAAGAACAGTTAAGAGCCTTATGCAAGAGCCTTGTAATACAGGAGGGAAAATCCCACATGCCTCTCCCTGCTTCAGAATGAAGACGGGCAGGCCACAGGAACCTCCTGATTCAAGGTCAGACCCAGACCATTTTGGTAAGAATAACAGAACCCAGAGTTACTTCAAGCAGTCACAGAAGCTCACATAAAGCTAAATATGAAAAATCCTTTGCAGGAGTCATCACATGTTGTACCGACAGAGAACTACCATGAGCTTAAAGCACAGCGAGTCCCTTAAGCATTTTTGCCCATCTTTATGGCTGTTCGTACTCACTTCCCCCTCCATCGCTGTTCCCCAGCACCTGTAGTTTCAGCTCTTTGCTTCTAGGTCCCAACTCCCTGTTGAAACCGAAGACGGGCTGGTGTTAGGCACTCTTTTTTAAGTGGCCATGGAAAAAACAACCTCCTTCTGTATCTTTCCTCCCTCAAATCTCACACGCCTCATCACCGTCTCCAAAGCTATAGTATGCACTACCGTGGAGGACATGACTAGCACACCAAACTACACAACTCTGGTTTGTGTACCCTACAGAGCTGTGTAGGCTGCCAGTAGAAGTTGAGAGGGCAATCCCTCTGGAAAGGCTGCTTATTCTACTGCCCTGTTGCACCTATGATCAGCATTTCTACCCACCCAATTAAAACACAGTGTCCAGAGAAGAAAGAAATAAGTATGTAAATGTATTCTAGGGCCAAATGCCAGAATCAGCAGTCCAGCACAGGGGCAGCACAGACATTGCCCCATTGTGCGGACTTCACCTCTGCACCATGCACATCAGTTACTGCATGGTAATGATACTCAGAGACTGTGCCAGCCCACCAGCACTGTGCCAGCCAGGAGGAGAGCAGACACTTACAGAAAGAACTCATCATTCCACTCCACTTCTCCTGCAGCACTGACACTGCTACCTGTCATCGGCCTTGTCCACTTCTGCTGCAGGGGACTGTCTAGCTCTGCCATGCAGCATATATCCCCAACTCCTGCAACAGAGAGACAGAGGGCATGTGTGCACTTGTCAACAAGAGGCAGTGGTTCGTCAGGAACACGCCCCTCTTTTCCTTTCAAACCCACCCGTAACACCCACTCGCTCCAACCTCGCCACCTGCACACTTGCCCCTGTGGATCAGCAATGTTTTCACGCTTACCTCCATTCCCCTGGCATCCCAAGTTCATCACTCGAAGATTCCGGAGCAACAGCTTAGAACCCAGAGGGGCTGCTGCTACTCCAGACGGGGACTCTCGAGTCAACTTATTGCTGGGTACCTGAGGAATGACGACAGTGAGACCGATACCTTTATCGTTCACTCGTCAGCAGACGGCAGCAAGACACATCGTCCTTGTATCTATTAAGTAGCTCCTTACAACAACACAGGGGAATACCCACAAAGCCATCAAGAGATGCTGCAAGTCTCCAAAGCTATTGATCTCCAGTGGGCCCCCATGTTATTTCAGATGGGAAGTTTAAGGCAGACAGAAAAGGAGACAGGCAAGGACAAGCTTGCTGGCTACCAGACGGTCAACTGACAATGACAAACCATGGGCCATTCCATGCCTGCAAAGGCTGCCCTGGACAGAGCCTTGATGTTCAGAGCAAGGGTAGCTGCCAAAAGACAGATGTACCTCAGGCAGTACAGCTCTACAAGTAAATGACTGACAATCAGCATTTAAGAAAAAAGGTGGAAAGAGTTGCCCTTGGGAGCAATTTCTAATTACCCCTATTCAGCATGTCTCAATACCCAAACTCCTATGACAGAGCAGGCCAGGGTTCAGCTGTCACCCAGAAGTGAAACTCAACTCTCGGACTCCTGCCTGAGTTTCAGCCCTCAGAAGTGTTTTGAGGCCTATGTTTGAGGCACAAGAATGACATGAGAAGAGTGACTTACCACACTGGCTTCAGCAGTGCAGGCCATCAAATTCACCATCATGGCTGGCTTCGTGCTGACAACGGTATCCTCGATCAGATCCTTTATAGTGGACAGATCCGCTCTCCCTTCATCCTTCTCTCCGTAAATCAAGAGCAAATGCAGGCAAGTCATTAAAAAAAGGATACATTTACAGCTCCATTTGCCTCTCAAGCCTCAAATATGCTACACAGTCATTCTCCCAGTAATAACCTCCCAGATACACTTTCCATATTCCATACTTGCCCTCCTCAGTGCTTAGAACTTCCATGTAGCAGCTGCAGGCAAAAGCAAGCCTTATAAATGAGAAAAACTAAGTCTCTACTTCTGTAGTTTACTTGGTATAAATTTTTACAATACAGCTTTTATAGTTTGTCACATGCTCACCACCGCAGGAGATGGTGCCACCACACTTTTGGCAACTCCTGCAGCCAAATTCCTGCACCTACTTCGGATAAAGTAACAAAGGAATCAATAAAACACCAAATCGACCAACCTATTTGGATCACGGAACTGAAGCACATCTGCATTCTGTTTGTTAAACCTCTAAACCCATGGATTCTCCACATTAATCTCTTAAACCTTAATTAATCTCTTCAAAAAAACTCAACCAAACCTAATCAAGAAAACCACGCCAACACAAGAACAAAAAAAACCACCACCTCACATAAAGAGAGAGTGGCAACCCAGCTCTACGTCTGACAGCAGCAGGAGGAACATACATAGACAGAAAGCCTTCAATAGATACTGGTACCACTTCAGCCCTCTTGAGGATGCTGTTTTGACACAGCTGAGCTAGTATTGATTCCAGGATGAAAGAATCCCTCCACTGCCCTAAAGGGCCATGACAACAAGTTGCCAACCCTTCTCCTCCACAGCAGCCTGCCTTCTAACTGCTTCTGCTCCTTGCTCCCTTCCTCCACTCACAGTCAGCCTCCCACTGTTAGCCCCTCACCTCAGGAAGCTCAAGTCGTGGAAGAACCAAAAAGTCCAAGTTTGGTCTGTCTTTGAATGTCCATGACACCAGGAGACCCTCATTCTGTATCTCCTCCAAGTGGATCTCCATCTGGCCCAGAATAAATATTCATAGTTGAAAACAGTTTCTGTTTACATTAGGTGATTTTTGTCCCATTCCAAATCCAGCAATTGAAAGGCCCTCACAGCAGGGTATCAGTAAAAAACAGAACATAAGAACACAAGTGCCAGGACTACAGGATGAAGAAGCTGCAGAAGTCTCAATGCTCCACAGAGAGATCTGGCTTCCTCACTGCTGTTGGATGCCCAGGCACCACGAGAGGGGAAAATGATCCATTATTTCTTGCACCAAAGAAAAAGCTTGCAGTACAATCCAAAAGTGCCGAACTGGGCACCAACATGTAGGATATTTACTGAGCTACATCAATTAGCCATATGAAAGTTAGCAATGCATCTCTAGGAGATGATCCTCAGGTTGAAGACCCATCCGGGTCACCAACAGTCTGCAACAACAAACCAGACTGTACACCATCCTTTAGTTTAGCTGAAGTTAAAAAGCTGCACACACATGTACCCATAAAAGCATCATTAATGTGAAAGACAGAAGCAGAACCACACAGCAAGACCCCAACCTGAGAGCTCTTGTGAAAACTGGGTAAAGAAATTCAACATAGTTCTCAATTGCCAGGTTGACATTTATCGACAATACAGAAGTTCATGAGACAAAAGCAACAGATATGAGACACAGTGGCCAAGTAAGTAACCAACAAGAGGTGTACAAAATAGACAGGGCAGAACCGCGGGCACAGTACGTGAAGTATTCAAAACATAGGCAGGCATATGGTAATCTAACCAGCATTTCATAAAACAGCAGCAGCAAGACCTCAATTAGAATATAACATGCAACTCCTTACACGAACAATCAACTCAAAACTTCACCAGGTGCAGACAAGGAGACCTAGAAAATGCCAGTGAGTAGGGGAGCAATTGGATGAGATGTTAAAGAGGGGACCTTTCAGAAATGAAAAGCAACTGCAGTTGCTGCCCATCACTAGATTGGCAGCAGGCACATGACATGCTAAAGAGAGAGAGGAGCTCTCTGGAGCTCTGGATCTCTGGAGGAGATGACCACAGAACAGAGGTACAAAATCCAACTGGCATGACCTGATAAAAGTGGGCGGAAAATTGTAGTACAGCTTCTGAGAGCAAAAGGGTTCCAGAATAAGCTTCAAACAGCCAGCAACAACATGGGATTGGCTTCTGCTACTGCTGAGGTACTTCTAATCTTGCCATGTCTATTTCTTTTTTTTTTTGGTGCACATATAAGCACACTGCCTCCAAGCAAGACACCATCTCCAGCATCATGGAAACAAAACCACATTCCAGAGAATCAAATCCAGACAGAAAGTAACTATGGAGTTACCATAGTCATTTCAGAGCTTCTTTACTGGAAGAAGCTCCGATATCTGTGATATTCAACACACAGAAAAAGCTGTAGCATTTGTGAATGTAATGAGAGGAACTGACAAGCAAACTAGTCCTCATCATAGATTTCTTTTTCACACCCACTGCCAGGACACCATACTTTTACATATCCACAGAACATACCTTTCCTTTTCCTTTATGCCACGAGGGGAATTGAATTTTCTGGACTTCTCACTTCTTAAATACCCACTTAAAAGCACAGTACATAATGCTGGCATGTCTCAAAATTGTCTGGAATTTCTTACAGCTATGTTTCATAGCCAAAATCTGCAGATGAAGACTCAGAAAACAAGACCTGGCATGCAGATGGAATACTCCTCACCTCACCAAATGTTAGTGACCACACACTGCTTCTTCCAGCCCAACGAGGCCTTTATTTGCACTGAATCAGGTCCTCCTTCCTCGATCAGTGTGGGACTACGTGGAGGGGTAAGATCAATGTCTAACTCCTTATAAACCTTACCTGAGCCTGCAGCACAGCCAAAGTGACATGATAGGTGTCCACAGAAACAGCAACTGGGGACTGCTGAGTAACAGAGACAGGGAATTTCACAGCTTCAGCTGACAGATGGCAGCATAGCACCTAAAAAGAAAAGGAAAAGATGAGTTTATATCCCAGTAAGAGACAGCCGTGTTATTCTCACCAAGTTCCATGCTGCAAACCTGCCACTTCAAACCCTGTGCTGTGATAAGAGCTCTCTTATGCTCTCCACAGTAGGACCCTGATGTTTGGGTTCAGCATTCATACACCTTGGCTCCACTAACACATCTTCCCTCACAGAGCTCACTGATGTGCAGCTCCAGAGCCTCCAAACTCTGAAACTTCTCCAAACAGACCTCACCCAAAACCTCCCTGGTTCTACCATCTCCATCACAAAGGCCCCAACAGTCTCTGCAGAACACACCATCAATGGAGATACACCACACTGTACAATTCAGAACAGCAAAGCCTTACCATGCTATGGTCTGACTGTCCCTTGCATGTCACACAACTTATATTTGCAGCTTGTGGTAACTGAGGACCCTCTTCAAACGTGATCTGGACTGAACTCTGCAAAGAGAAAACTCTGTTAGCTAACAGGACTCAGAGCTACCCAGACAGTTTCAAAGAGGATGAATGATGTGGGGTCCCAGAGACACTGTTTCCACAACTCCTGTCAGCACCCAGAACTATTGCACACTGTAATTCTACCCACCTCAGCTTGTCCATACAGAGAAAGGAAAAAAGGGGCTTGAATTCACAAACGTTATGTTAATTTCATACAGGTAAACCCAAATGAGAATGGAAAATTGTTCTGGATAGCAGTCAACTATAGGTCGAGTGCGTTATCCCTTCTTCATTGCAGAAGCTTTTCTGTTTATTCTTTCTCTCTCTCTCACTCCCCCGTATGTGCTTATCTTGCTCCAAGGAAAAAGAATACCAAACCACCACCAAAACAAGCACACATGCACACACACACCTCACTAAATAAACAATTAACAAAATCCACATCCTCAGCATATATCCACAACGTCAGCTCCTGTGTTCCACTGGCTCCTTTTTTTCCACCCTCTTCTGGTTTCTTAGATTACAATCTCCACTGTGGAGGCATCTCTCATCTTCATTTGAAGATCTCTCCCTATTTCAAGACCAGATCTGTACAGAGAACCTTTCTCAAAAAATAGAAGACCAAGATAAAGAGTTTGAGAGCATCCTTCCACAAAAGCTAGCCCTCAAAGATCCCATCTGCTCACATGGGACAAAAAGAGAGAGACAGAGAAAACGGGAAATCCGGGCACTAGCACGTGACTATTTGACAAGCTAAATGCATTTTAGGGCCAGAACAATCAAAAGAGATGGTAGAAGTGCAGGAAGCAACATTCTTCTCAAGCAAATGAGACTCTGAACTGCCACCTCCATGCTACAGACAGACCCAAGCGAGGGGCAGAAAAGGCTCTGGGACACTAATCTGACATAAATAATACAACCTGAAGAACTGCTTGCCCCCCAAAAATGAGTCCAGATGCATGCCTTCCTTCCAACACAGACAGAAGGCAGCTCTAACAGTGATGAAACGCAAAATGGATAACCAGTATCAGCTTGCTCACTGCTGTTTCATTTTAGTAATGCTTGCTGTTTCTTTTCCTCGCAAGCGTCCTCCACCAGAGCCATGCAGTCACTCATGTGGGTCAGTCCAAAATATCAAATCAGCTTTTTCTCTCTGTGACCAGAATCTATGTCCAACGACTCAAGCATTTCAGCAGCAGCAGCAAGGTACCCCCTAGTTCTTCCCAACACCTCACAGTCTCACCAAACTGGGAGGCACTGGTCACCTTCAAAAGATCTCACCGCTCAGCCTGCTCAGAAGGAACCACATGCACAAAGTGGCATGAATCTACATATCCTCCAAGGCATGCAAAAAATGTAGCAGAAAAAGTAAAATGAGGAGGGCAGCATGCACTTGAGAGGCAACACAACTCTTTTCAAGTCTTTGCCCCATTTTAAGGGAAGTGAATTGTAATTCCAACAGGAAATACTAAATTAGCAGCTGTCATTTCAAGATCTGCAAAAAATGTGACACCTTGACACTAAAGATACTCTCAAGTACCAGGGATGAGAATAAGACATGGCTGAAAGCAGAGTGACCCTCATCTGTCCACTCCTGGCCCCTTCAAACTACACTCCTAGCACAATCCACTCAAATTCACATGCTGGCATGCTCTGACCACCAATGCACTCCTACAAATCTCCTACCACATATGTGTGAATGTTATGTACTTGCATTCACTGAGATACAGAAACACAAGGAAAGGTGGGCAAATTTGAATCTGAACAAGATTAGAACATATTCTTTTAAAATTCTGTAAGCTGAAAGAAGCCATGCAGAAAGAACAAACCACAGAAGGTAAGAGACTATCAAGATATAAGCAAACGAGGAGCATTCCTCCAGGACTCTGGAAAGCTAGCATATCAGATATGGAAAACTGGTGACACTTTGACACGACAACTATAGCACTACGATGAGAAGGCGTGGAAGCAGACGGTGAGTTTCTACAGGGGAAGTGGGAAGAACTAAGCAAATAGGAGAAGGCACTTCCCACTGAATCTAGCCTAGAATTTGTCACTTAGTCAAAAAGGGAGATACTTTTCCTATCTTCCTGGAAAACGTCAAACACAAGTTTGCATCATGTTCTTCAAGACTTTAACTGCCTTTTCTTCAAATATGTTAGCTTCACGCTAACCTTTTCTAGCTCGATTTTCCTGTACAACTTAACGGAAAGACAACCCCTCCCCACTCACACGACAGGAAAAAAAAGGAGATTACAATAGACTTTGGACTGCTTCGGACGACAGTTTCTGTGGGCATTAAGTCCCTGCCTTGCAGGCAACACAAGCTATAATGCAATTATTTCCATATGGAATCATCAAGGCATACTCTCCTTCGTGAACTTCAAAACTACAGATAATACAATGGTAATACTGGGAGATTACAGAAAATAAATACTAGAAAATTTCGAAGAGATTGCTGTGGAAACATCAGAGCGACTACAATATTGCCCCAACCCGCGTTAAACGACGCGTGGTAAACCCACTCGGCCCTTTCCGCGCTCGCACACCGCAGTGCACTCCCGCGCAGGCCGAACGGAGCCGTCCGCAAAGGTCCCGGTGCCCAACGGCTCCTCCGGCCGGAGCGCCCTGCGGGGAAGAGCTGTCGGGCACCTGCGAACAAAGAGCAGGCGGCTGGACCCGCCTCACCTCGGTGCCGCTCCCCGCACTCCCCCGCTCATGCCCTGCCGTACCCCGTGCCGGCGCGCCTGGTTGTTGAGAGCTCGCACCCAAGCTCTCTGCCACTGCTCCCGTAGGGACCTGAGGGCGAGAAGCGCCGCGAGCAGCGCTCGGGCCCCAGCCTCCTCCGCCGCCGCTCCGCGACGCCGTAGCGCTCGCAGGGCCGTGGACCGCCAGTACTGAAGCAGCCAGGCCGCCACGGTGAGCAGCGAGGCGGCGAAGAGCAGCACCAGCGCGGCCCAGCCCAGGTCCGGCCCCATGGCACGGCGCGCGGGGCTCACGGCGGCGCGGCGGGCATGGCCGGCGGGCTGCAGCGCCGCCCCGCTCGCGGCACCGGGCGCACGTGGTCCCGCCGCAGCCCCGCCGCACCGCACACGCTCCCGCCACTGCCTCTTTTCTTCCGGCGCAGCGGAGCGCGCGCGCCCCCCGCGGCCCGGCGGTACCGCCCGAGCCGCGGCGCACCCCCCGCTCGCTGCTCCGCCCCGTGCCTGCGGGCAGGCTGTGGCACCTGGTCTGAACGGCCGGGAAACCTCACAGCTGCTGCTGCTGCGAGCCTTCTCTTCTGAGAGAAGAGCTCAGCCGCGATCTGAAAGCCCAGGTCACCCACCGGCTTTCCGAGCTCCGATTAACGACGCTTTTCTCCTCATGTGGCGCTCTATTCTGCTGGGAGTCACTACCCCGCTCCCACCACGCACGCAGGACACACCAGCAAGGCGAAACCTTTCCGTTCGTTGTGCCACTCTCGCCGTGGAGGGCAAGTAACACGAGTTTTGATCACCTCCCGATAGTCACAACCCAAAGTAGCAGCGGCCGGCTGGTGGCGATTCCTCGGTGTTAGAGCTCCAGGGTCTCTGGCCACACATGCTCCCCAGCAGTACCTCTGTGCTGTGCTTTCCTCCCCAGCAGTACCATGTGCCCACCTCAAAGTTTATTTGAAGTTCAAAAAATCACTTTTGCCTATGTTCAACAGACAGCAGAGCAGAGGTGGCCTCTCAATACTGCAGCAGCTCCCTAGGTGGCTATAACGCCATCAGAAAAATCAGATAAAGCCATCAGAAACTATTACAGGTTGCCATACAGGTGCAGGGCACGTAAAAGTTCGTCTTGCTGTTACGGACTTTCTGCTGCGTGTCCCCTCTGCTCATCGACTCACACCTGAATGAACAGAACAGTAAATGGACATTGAGCTTATCCTGCCTTCCCTTCTCCACCCCCCAAAATGCCCCGAGGGACCAACAGCAGTTACAGATTCCCGGACAATCAAAAAATCTGCAGTAAGGTATTTTACTGAATCTTCCCGACATCTGAAGAAACGTGGGGAAATAAACCCGACGGCCGCTCACTTTTCCGCTCTCGTGCATTCTGCAGCCCGATAACACGGCTCGCCGGCCGGCGGTGACTGCGCTGTATAGGGCTCGCCCGCAGCCGTCGCTCCTCAGAGCTGGGCAAAAGTCGGTTCTGGCTGGGAGGAGGGCGGAGCCGTTATTCGGTCCCGGCCGCCCGCCCTCTTCTGCGACTCACCCGCGCCCCGCATGGGAGAAAGTGACGTAATGTGAATCAAGGGAGGGGCCAAGGCGGCCATGGCAGTTGCGGGCATTGCGGAGCGGAGTCGTCCCTGAGCGATTGCTACTTCCGGCGCAGAGTTTCGGAGTAGCCCCGCGGAGGAGGAGAAGCACCGCAGACCTTAGCACCGGGAACGAGCGTGTCCACACGCCCTCAGCACGGCTGAATCCGTTACCGATCCACGCCGTCGTGCGAGCAGAGCTCCGTGCCCGCAGGAAGCTCATGCCAGGGCCAAAGATGGCGCCCCCGTCCCCGATAGGCCGCGAGGGGCCCGCGCATGCGGCGCCGCCCGCGTAGCGCCCGGCAGGGAAGGCGGAGGGCAGCGCCCTTGGAAGGGGCAGCGCCCTCCGTGGCCATGGCGGCCTGGCCCGCTGTGCCCCTCCTCATCAACCTCGGCGGGTCGCTGCTGGGCTTCGCGGCCACGCTCACGCTGATCCCGGCATTCACGGACCACTTCCTCGCCGCGCGGCTCTTCGGGGAGGACCTCAACAAGACCTCAAAACGGCCCATGTGAGTCGCGCTGTCCTCCGGAGGTGCCCGGCCCTGGCACGGCTGACTCCCTCCGCTCTACTGAAGCGCGGAAAAACTCTCTATAACCCACAAAATAAGTTATAAGTAGTAGATATGTATTTATTCAGCGCTGAGGTGCATGGGGGATAGCTCCTCCAAAAACATGCACACCTTCGGCGACCTGCGCCTCTCCTTTTATTCTCTACAAACTAGGACTACACAATACGCCTAATACATATTAATTTCCTAACCCCACTTCATATTAAAATTAGCTACACGCCTTTTTGCGGCTGCGCATTGTTCCCTTTTGGTTCCTCTGGTGGTCGTCTGGGGGTCTTTGGGATGAAGTAAACAGCCTTCCTCTCAGTTGAACTTTTCACCTTGCCTCCTTGTGCATGCTGTCTTTTTAGACCTTTGGTCATTTTCCGGACTTTTATACCAGTTTTCCTGGTTTCAGGGGTCTGAGAACCCCCTTATCCTGTGGTGTCTTTGTCCTTGCATCCTGCTTGCGCATTCTAGCTCTTGACCTCACCTTGTAGCCTTGCTCCCCTCCTGCCCTTGTAAGCACCGTCAATTACAGTAAACATGTGGGTTTTTTTTTTTCCTCACACGCGGGGTACCAAATGTGAGGTTTCTGGGAACCTCCCGGTGCCTCCTGTGCACCCACGCTGTCGGGCCTATTCTTCTATTGTGTAAAAAGCAAAGCGGCTAATAGTTGCTGTAAAGTTATTGCAGAAGCACATCAGTGTCAAAAGCAAATACAAAGCAAGGCAAAGCAATGGCTAAAAGCAATGGCTAAAAGCAATGGCAAAGCTGCAGTGGCAAAATGCAGTGGCAAAATGCACATGGCATAAAGCCATGGCATAGAGCCCCCACTCTCCCTGATGCATGTTCTTTTATAGAAACTTTCCAACTAGCTAAGACACAAACTCGGACCACTACTTCTTAACCTATTAGAATTCTGGTTTCTTAGCACGCCAGACTACGGATAGACTACGTTCATGGCCTATCTTGTTCTAACTGAAAAATGTAAGCAATATTCTTAACTCTAACTCTATTATGTCTGAAGCCAGGTTCTTGGAGCCTCTAAGAAAACACTAGTATGTTTTTCAACCTTCACTAGAACATGTACTACTTCTCAGGCATCTAAGACCTTTTGCTTACTAAAAGCACTTAAAACTTATTCCATTTACTTACTTATTTTCTCTCTCTTATGTTACAATCTAAGTCTTCACCTCTGCCTTATAAGTGAGAGGCCTAATATATTTCAGTTCATCTAAAGGTTTCAACTCAATCCCTGCATTCTGATTTCTCTCTGAAGAAATCAGAGACTCCTGACTTACTGACTCCAACAAACAGAGTTTTGTCAGCTCCCTTTTAGTCAAAGCATTTTCTTGGTGTTTGATTCTTAATTCTCAGTTTCTCTGTCTCAGTCTCCCTTTTTCTAGAAAATAAGTAAATTATTTTACTTTCTCAATTCTGCCGATCTGTTTGGGTCCCCCTGTGGATTTTGGAGTGGGAAATAATCTTTCACATCTAAATGTTGGGTTTTATAATAATCTTCTATCAGATCCCCTGCCGTTTTTATAATTAATTGTTTTTCTGTCTCAGTCAGTGTATCCAATAGAATTGCATATCGCTCCAATCCGGACTGTGGTGTTTTATTATATATTGCAGACATTTAGCAGTGTTAACTGGATGGCTGTGGTAATTTTTAGCAACTTTTTCCTATGCCTCCAAGTCGATTGTGGAGAAGGGAACTTTAACCAATACCTTTCCTCCCTCTGGTCCCACTGCCTCTCGCAGAGGTGCCTGTAACCAGACCTGTCTAGTCCAGTGTGTGATCGGAGTGGGGGTTTGCATTCTCTGAGTCTACATCCTCATCTCTTTCCTGGTTTATGTGGGGCGGCTTGAGCAAATCGTCTGCCAGATCTTGTTCCTGGGCCACAGTCTGGTAAACCTTATGCGATTTTGTATATCTTTGCCCTATGCTATACACTGAATAACACCGCTTAAGCTTTACTCTCTTATTCTCCTTCTCTAGAGCCAATACCAGAGGGTCAGATGGAGCCCTGATCCCACAGTCCCTCTGCCATTCGGGGTAATTTCAAAGGGAGCAGAACATACCAGCATATGATACCTCTGTCCACTTCCCTCCTAAGAAATAGCATGAGCTGTAGTAGTGTGTTACAATCCAAAGTTCCACTCAGTGGCCACTTTGCTCCATCGTCCAATTTATATAATGGCCACCAGTCCTTGCAGAATCTAATAAGGTCACCTTTATATTCTCTTCCCCCATGCCCAGCAACGTCTTTCCAATGTGCAATAATACAGCCTAGTGGACTAGCCCTGGGGATCTCTTTACTTTGTCCAGTTCCCATTATCTTCTCCTTCTTGTCCCGTACTGATTCCACCCGAACTTTTCCTCACACAATTTCACTGTTTTTTCACGGTATTCTTCCCACCCACAATCCCAATTTGCAGGCACCCTATGTGACTTTCCACACACTAACTTCAGAATTTTAGGTTCAACATTGACTTGATTAGGGTAGCTTTTCAATTCACACTTGGGACATATGCCCTTGCTGGTTGTTAGAGCAACAATACCAACATCTTTCACAATCTCTACGCTGTAATAAAACCCATGCCAGATGCCAACTCCTTGGTCCTCTGATGGCTCTAAATCTCCCACAAAGACAAGCTATCCCGTTCACCCCCCGGAATACCCAGAGTCTCTACTGTGAGAATTCTCAATTTCTCTGTCTCACTGCCTTCCAGCCCCGAAGCACAGGGCGTGATTAGCGGTGCCGTGTTCCTGATCATCCTCTTCTGCTTCATCCCCGTGCCCTTCCTGAGATGTTTTGTGGAGGAGCAGTGCGCAGCCTTTCCTCACAATGAGGTGAGGCTTGTCCAGTGCTGCAAGCGTGGCAGGCAGGGCACAGAGTGGCCACCGGTGACCAGGGTCCTGTTCTCTGTCCTGCAGTTCGTGGAGCTCATCGGTTCACTCCTTGCCATCTGCTGCATGATTTTCCTGGGCTTTGCAGATGATGTTCTGAACCTGCGCTGGCGCCACAAGTTGCTTCTTCCTACCATGGCTTCCCTCCCACTGCTCATGGTTTATTTCACCAACTTTGGGAACACGACCATTGTGGTGCCTAAGCCCTTGCGGGTGCTGCTAGGCATGCACTTGGACCTGGGTAAGTTAGGAATCAGCAGAAGCCATCATCCACGTGGCAAGCAGTCAGTGGAAGGGAACACATGAAGCACTTTGTGCTGCAGAGGGAGCAGACTAAGGATTTGCTTAAGTAACCAGTAAGAGAGTGGCACTCTACCCACTAAACATTAGGCTGGAAAGAACATCCAGAAACCCAGCACACAGGAATTCAGCCGTGCACAGACAAGCACCAATCACTTTCCCGTGATCCTGGCAATACAGGTGATTAGTGGGGCACACAGCACATGGCTGATAACACCAGGATGTTAGAAAGACAGGAACAGTACTACAGTTGGCCGCCATGTCACAGCAGTTTGCTGTAGCCACAGTGCTGTACGTACATGTATACATAATGGCCAACTTGGAAGAGAAGAGGCAATCTATCTGTAAGCTACCACTATCAAAACTCACTGAGATTGTTAGATAATAGGGTGGTGTATAAAGCAGGAAGTGAGAGCTTCAGTGAAGCTTTGCCTCCGAATACTAAAGCATTTGGTTTGCTCTGATCTGCAGGTATCCTCTACTACGTGTACATGGGTATGCTAGCAGTGTTCTGCACTAATGCCATCAACATTCTCGCTGGAATTAATGGAATTGAAGCAGGACAGTCGCTGGTGATAGCCGCTTCCATTATCATATTCAATGTTGTAGAGTTAAATGGTAAGGAAAATAACAAACATTTGTGTGCACAAAAAACAAAGGGAGATTGAGTTCTAGATTTCAATAGCTGGTATTAGTAAAAATGATAATACATGTTTTTCTTTCTTCTATAGGGGATTATCGAGATGATCACATTTTTTCTCTCTACTTCATGATTCCTTTTTTTTTTACCACGCTGGGCCTATTCTACCACAACTGGTAAGACGGTAGACATTCAGAATTTGTTTGGAAGCATCCTTTCCCTCTAGTTTCTCCCTTTTCTGTTGGAGTCTGAAAAGAGAAGCCTCTCTGAATTCTTCAGAGAGAGCAGAGTGCAGGGTTTGAATTAAAACCTCTGGATGGATTAAAGTATATTAAGCCACTCATACATGAAATAGAGGTTTAGGTATAAGTTCTAAGTAAGTAAGTAAGTAAGTTTAAGTAAGTAAGGATATGTTGTAAATGCCTTAAAAACTAATACCCTTAGATACCAATGTAGAAAACAAGTGGGAGTTCCAAAACATAGTTCCAGACATAATAAAAATACAGTAGGAATACTGTTTCCATTTTTCAGATAAAACAGATAGGCCTTTAGTACTAAAAAACTAGAACAAACAAAACCACTTAACAACGTGCAGGTGGACCAGTGTAGAGAGGCTTCTTGCCAGAACCAAGAACACAACGCATCAATGGAGCAGTAGCTTTTCTTTGTATTAGAACAATTGTGGTCACACCAGCTCACCCAAACTCACAGAATACACTCTCTCCTGTGCCTCACTGTCTGTCTTTTTATACCATATTCTCCTCAAGTCAGGTGGCGGGTCCCAGTCCTGCAGTTCTTAGAATAAATACCTACAATTGTTTGCAGGTCCCCACTGGCCCCTAACCTGCAATGTGGACATACATCCAGTGGTTATAAATAGCCATTTTCGTGGCAGTAGTAGTCACATCAGACCTTTTCTGCTCCATGGATTGCAGGTACCCATCTCGAGTGTTTGTTGGGGACACCTTCTGCTACTTTGCTGGCATGACCTTTGCTGTGGTGGGGATCTTGGGACACTTCAGCAAAACAATGCTGCTTTTTTTCATCCCGCAAGTACTCAACTTCCTCTATTCATTGCCTCAACTCTTCCACGTCATTCCTTGTCCCCGTCACCGGCTACCGAGGTAATGTACTAAGTGACCTATAGTGGTGCTACAGGTTGTGTCTTTTGCCTCCAACACCAGCTGAGAAAGGTGGTGGAAGGTGTTCTTTTTAAAAGCCATGATAGTATGTTTTCTCTTTAATAGACAGAAGTTCACTCTGCCAGCTGCAGTCAGATCATACAGTAGAGGTTTCTCAAAAAAGTGAACTTTCCTGACCAGCCCTCCCCTCAGGATACAGAATAATTTTTAACAAGGTTAGAACATGATGATTCTAACCTACAAGATCAAGAGAAATTCACACAGACTGCTTTTAATGCTGCAGTAGTGGGATCTGCTAAGATTTCATAGTAGCAAGCATTCTGTAGCACTATGCCTCATCAGCAATTCTCTCTCCAGGTGTTACATTATTCTATTTTATTCTCTAAACTACACAGCATATATTGAGGGTGCAATGGGAAGGAGTTTTCTCTGTCCCACTTGAGCGGCTAGATACCAGCAGCTGTTGTTAAGTGCATCAGGTTATTCCTGTTTCTTCTGTTGCCTGGAAAGGCTGACCTGGAACAGAGACTACACAGAGCAAAAGGAGTAAAATAGCTATTTACTGAAAGGATACACCTCGTGTAGTGCAAGAGCCCAGCTGGGGCTACACCCAAATCAAATTCAAGATGGATCCAAGTCATGAGCTTTACACTTTTATAAGTTTTGATTCATCCTACATATTAGGTTTAATTACCCAACCACAGCCCCAGGCTATGAAGTATCAGCCCCCTGGCTTGCTCCTTTTCCCTCGCCATTGTTTCTGCTTTTTGCGTATCAGTTGTCCTTGATTCTCTAGCTAGAAAGGGATTGTTTTGTCTAACTACCCTGTGAAGAGAACTTACTAACACCTAATATGAAGTTTCAGAGTTACACACTAAGCAGCAGAGATTCTTAAAAATGTAAAAGCTAAAACCCAAGGCATCACTTCCACCACTCCATTTGTTTCTTAGCTATAGATCTAAGTCTGCTTACAAAGTGATCTACCTGTTTGTTGTATCTGGACTAAATTTTAAATGTTTCTTTTAGGCTTAATCCTAGTACAGGGAAGTTGGAGATGAGCTATTCCAAGTTCAAAACTAAGAGCCTCTCTGCCCTGGGAACAAACATTCTGGAGGTAATACGTGGAAAACATTCAAAATTCAGATGCATTTTCTGGCAGTCATCAACTGCAAGAGAAACAGGATGGGAGAAAATGCAGAACTTCTGGGTTCAGTAGTAATTGCCTGGCTCAAATCTGGAAGAAAGTCTGTTTCCCTCCCTCACAGCCACTGAATTGTGTTAATAATCAGTCTTTCAGAATAACCACACATACAGAAGTGCCCCAGGACCATCATAAGTCTGTCCTGTCTTTTCAGTAAGAGCACAAGCAGGATTTCAGGGATAGTACAACAAAAGGGCTCTTGAGTAAGATTAGTCAGTGAACACCAAACATACCTGGTGAAATATTGTGCAATATTTCTTTCCTCAGGTAGTCAAGATCTTGCACGTAGTAGATGTGAAGAGTGGAACAGATGAAGATGGCGAATACACTGAATGCAATAATATGACACTTATTAATTTTGTCATAAAGCTGATCGGACCCACCCACGAGCGAAATCTCACTCTCCTGTTGCTACTCATTCAGGTCAGACAAAGGGTTCCTCCAGTAGAAAGATTTACTCTGCAATAGAAACAGATCCAAATCGGTCTGAAGAGTTTTAAGGGAAAAGGGGAAAGTAAAATATCATGCTCTTCAGACAAGGTGCAGTGGAGCTTGGGGAGAATAAGAGGCTTACATACGTCAAGGAGGAAAGAAATTCCCACACCTCCCTGTTCATTGAGAGCTTATAAGGAAGGTTAGCTTAAGAAGATTCCCAAGGCACAAGTCATTGGTTGCAAGAAAAACATGAGGACAGCAGAGTGCCTTGTCACTTTGACTCAAAGCAGCCTTTTGGTATGTTCCTGTTCTTCAGTAATACCAAATAACAGTCTCAGAGTTGTCATCAGTAAGTGGACTTAGGTACTGCTGAGCCACGTGCCAGCCTTACACGTCTGAGGGGCCTGCAGGAGCATTTTGAAGCCACTGGGAGAACAAGGATATGCTTCACGGATACTGCCACTACCTCTATTCAGCATGTGAATTCTTAAGCATAGTATAGTAAAAACGCTGCTTTTGGAAAGACCTGCACTGGTTAACTGCCCACAATAAAATCCTTATTTTCATGCTCAGATTTAAGATAAGAGATTCTTATTAGGAAAGAGACACTTAGTCAGATTCCGATTTGGGAGGAAGGACTTTGACTGAAAGCCTGTTGAACAGGATTCAGGCAGATGACATCGGGGATAGGAGAAGACAGGAAGTACATAGCCCTTACCTTGATCCCAGTCACGGCAGAGATGTCCTGACAGTGTCTTATTGTAAGGATGCTGAATTCAGCTTTGACATAAGGTATTTTCCATTACAAACTATGGGGTTTATGTTATAATGTAGGATTCTTAAGGTGGAATGTTAGTGGAAGGAGTTATTCCTAAATGTTTATCTCATCCACATTTTCTTAGAATGTGACTGTGTGCAGGCACATGGAGAAATCTCCCACTCATACCAAAATCCTCAGAGAAACAAGGTCTTTGGATAGACTTCTGCCATTTGTCTTCCTATAGCTAAAATATGTAGCCTTTCTGTTGCTGTTTTATGAAACGAACCATGCTGGAAAGCTTAGCAAAGCCTTTTGGAAAGGAGGAATCTGATAGCCTGTAAACCATTTGACAGTATAATGTTTCTGTTATGTCTCTGATTTTTACCTAGGTCCTTGGCAGCACGATTGCATTTTCGATCCGGTACCAGCTAGTGCGCTTGTTTTATGACGTCTGACTGGACTGTCAGGAGCAAGGGAAAGAGTTCTACCTGCCAGTCCATTTTCTCCAGTTGCTTGACCAAATGATTGAACTGATCTTACTCCCGCCCTCTGAGAACCTCAGAATACCTGTCAAAACACAAGCAGCTGCTTTGCGTGGGCTAGTTTTGAACCGGGATATTTTTTGTGCACCAAAGGCTTTTGTCTAATTTTGTGATAGAAAAGATTTACTGCTATTTGGACATCATTGTTATTAGGAATACCTTTTAGAGGGGAAGCAAATGACAACACTTAGGGAAAGTGGGAATGATGGAATCTCTGTACATCTAACAAAGACATTACTGTTCACCAAGAGCAAAAACAGCAACTTTAATTTCTGTGAGCAGAATAAGTAAACCAGACTCTGCTCCTGGCTTCTCCAATCCTGTTTTTGGTCCATGGACATAGAATGACATGTGATAACCCATACTCAAAACTCAGAGTGCTCCAAGAATAAAATAATTCATGGTACCCTTTCACCTGCAGTGCTTTGCCTTGACAATATTGACACGCAGTGAAACTAGGTTATATGATCCATCTCTAGGTTTCTACCCTGTCAAGCAGCTGATCATTTCTACAGTAGACTCCCTCCTTTTTTATAGCTACTGGGAATGTTCCTGCTGATTCTGAATACCTTTATTGTCTGTCTTCCTCCCTGGAAGAGGACATGTCTGGAACAGGTTAGCAGAGTAAGGATCACCATGTCCTTGTCTTCACAGGGTATCAGTAGGACCCTTAGATCAACGTGGAACTAAAACCCTGCTCACTGCCATCCCTTTTCCTCAAGTACAAATAATTATTTATATAGCAGTATTTAGCACCATAGTTCAACACAGAATTGCTACCTACCCGACAAAAAACCATAGAACAGCCATTGGAGTACCAGGTTGTAGTCTTTGCAAGACTAGTGGTAATGAAAGTTAGTGGCATAATGCAACAGCAGAAACAGGAGTGGTGAGGTGGGTGAGAGTAGAAATTGCCAGGTCCAGTACCCTAGTAGATGCAAGGAACCACACCACACACCCACGTCCAGCTAGTAAGAAGGCCTGGAATGTATTACCAGAAGGCAAAAATGACTGTGTCCAGCAGCACTGATCAACACAGAAAACACACAGCACTCAAATATGAATGGTATGAGTGGCCAAATCCTCTTCCTCCTCTCCAGCTGATCAGTTATAGATAGGTACCATATATTCTTTAACACATACACACAAACATTATTAAACCATTCAGTATCTGCTCTTAAACAGTCTGTCCAGTTACTTGCTGCTGGATTTCCTGGCATCAGGGCATATGAATAGAGAAATTATTCTCTCTGCTAGCTGATCTAGGGATGTGGTCTTCCAGTAGGTACCTCTCAAACAGCCACCCCATTTTCCCCAGTATGCTGGCTTAGCCCTACCTCCAGTAAACATCCTGCTGACCCCAACTTGCTCTCTAGTCAGGCTCATTTGCTAGGGATCACACACACTTGCATTCTACCTAGCCCTGGCCCTTGCCTGCATGTGCTCAGGTCTTCACGTTTGCTGGAACTACTGGCTGCACTGATCTGTGTCCTAATACCAGTTGCTGGCACTTGGACCTCCAGATGTACATAGGCACACAGGGTAGACAGTCTGCTTGCTGTGGGAAAAAAAACATACACGTTAGGTTAAGTAAAACAGCACAGACTGCAGAGATAATTATTACTGATCAACAGCATTTTAAAACATTACCACTTACTTCCCTTTTTTTCCCCTTCAATGTTCCCATGATTTTTTCCTCCTAGTCCACTTTGACTTCCCCCACTCCTTTGGTGCTTCTCTTAATATACCCATATTATAAACCCATACTATATCTCACACATTCCCACAAGTCGCTAAAAAGGATCTCATGGTAGGTTTTTTCATATCCCTAAATGCTTTCCCCCATGTACTATCCTAAGGCAAATGCCCTTACAGACAGGGATACGTCTCAGTCTGTAGGCATCCCGGGAGCCCCTCTACCTCACTCTGGACGGAAGCCCCCGTCAAAAAGCACCGTGCACCTGCACTGGGTGGCACGAAGGGCTCTGCGGGATGGGCATCTCCTTCCGAGTGGGCGGGCCGGCATGGTTTAGATTTGGTGCCTCGCTCGCTGATTGCCTGACCCCGTCGCCAACACACTCAGAGCAAGCGCCTTGGTATCACACAAGGGACCAATCCCAAAAAGCTGCTTCCAGGAGGCGCCCCAAAAACAAAAAAGCGCCAATGAGCTGGGCCGTGCTGGGCGGGAGGTTATAAAAATGCCGGACGCCCCAGCTGCGGCCCCTACCATTTAACAGCAAAGAGGGACGCTATGTCTGGTCACGGCAACAGCGGAGGCAAGGCCCGTGCTAAGGCCAAGTCTCGCTCGGCCCGGGCTGGGCTTACGTTCCCGGTAGGGCGCTTTCACCGGCTACTGAGGAGGGGGAACTATGGGAGACAAGTGGGCTCTACTGCGGTGGTGTATCTGGCGGCCGTGCTCGAGTACCTGACTGCTGAGGTCCTGGAGCTCGCGGGCAACGTAGCACGATATCACAAGAAGCAGCGCATCATTCCCCGTCACATACAGCTAGCCGTGCGCTATGACCAAGAGCTCAATAAGCTGTTGGGCGGCGTTGTCATCGCGCAGGGCGGCGTCCTGCCCAACGTCCACCCTGCGCTGCTGCGCAAGAAGACCGGAAAGAAGCGCAGCAAGTCGCAGAAGAACTAGCCCGGCCGGCCATTCCAGCATCCTTCTATCACACTTCTATCACACTTCCAACATCACAAAAAAGGTCCTTTTAAGGGCCACACTATTGGTCAATGAAAGAGCTGAAATCCGCGGAGGAGGCAGGTGGAGGAAAGGAGACGAGAGGTTTGGCGGGCCGTGGCTGTAGGGAGGCGGGCAGGAACCGGCCCAAGGCCAGTCAAACACTGAGCGCGACAGCTGCTCCCGGGGATTCCACCACTGCCGTCCCCCGTAGCCGGGGAGAACGGCTCCAGGGACCGGCCCGCAGCACCGTCATCGATGCTGCCCGAGCCCTGTTCCGCGGACCCAGGCGTTCCATGTTCCGCGCAGCCCGGGTCGGACTCTGTGGACGCGGAGGCCCCGAGTTCCCCGTCGCGGGTCCGTAGCTCTGTGGCGCTGGCCTCCGCGGCGCCGGTCTCGCCGGCGGCTCTCTCCGCGCTGAACGGAGCTGTGCGGCCCGTGCTGCGATAGCAGCCGCCCCCTCCCCCGCGCAAGGCAGCTTGCCGCGGAAGAGAACGGGTTTTTTGGTGGTTTTTCCCCAACCCTTTCCCTAGCCGCGCGCAGCCGAGCCGGCTTTCCCACCTCAGACCGCGGACTGCACCGCGGGATCGCGACCAAAAACACTTTTAACAACTTTTAAGCAATTGCAGCGCGGCCACGCGGGCCGAGCCGGCATTGCTCCGGGGCGCACACGGGGAGCCCATGGGCGAGGGACGGGGTCGGGCGTGCCCAGCCCGGGCGGTCGCTCCGCCTCACTTCCAGCGGCTCCATCAGCTTCCCCCACCCAACCTTCACTACCCACCCCTCCGCCACCCATGCACGAGTCCAGTGCTGCAAAGAGGAGCGGGGGAACGTCAAGAACTGCTTTTAACCACATTGCTGGGGGCAAACGGAGCAAAAAGACACAAACATGACATCAGATTCAACCCCATTTTCACAGTTCACGTATGTAAAGCTAAAGGTGTTTTCTGCTGCAGTCTGCTCTCGGGGTCACTGGCGTGTTGCTGTGCTCAATACCCTAATAGTTAATTGCTAGTCAAAAGAATAGAAGGATCACTTTAAAGGATGTCAATAGACCAAAATTCTGTTAAAATCCACATTTTAAAATTTCATTAACCCGTAAATTGTAATTTCGACAGGGCTGTTGTTAAAAAGATCCATTTTATGCTGAAATTAAAATAATGGAGGTACAAAACATTTTACATCGGATTTGAATAGATACAACTTCTATTTAACAATTTGTTATAACTCAAATTAGTGGACACTTATTCAAATATCAACATAAAGTTTTAATTTTCCCATAGTCAATTGTTTCAAAAAACAGCTTCTAAGTCTTTGCAATGCCCTCAACTATGATTTAATGTAGCTAGAATTGTACCACTCCTGCTAGCTACACCCGGGTTCAGCGGGCATCATTGAGCTGCCTTGCCACACTAAGGATATGCTTTGCTCCCTTGCTCAGAAGTAAACTAGCTAATTCAACACCCAGGTTCTCTGCAGCTTCCTGAGCCTGACCAGGAACATTCTTGGCCGTGATGCCAACATGTTGCACATCATCATTCGGTCCATCTTCATTCTGCAAATATAAACACCTCAAAGTAAAGCAGCAGGAAAACACTGGCCAAAGAACTAAGACACCCATGAAAAAGGGTAAAATCTAGTCTGAGGAGCCTCAAGAACAGTGTGCTGTTACAGCTTACAAGAAACCAGACCAAATATAATCTATTTCTAAAGGCCTTGTTTTAGCCATTTAGCTTCAGGTTTGTATTTTGAAGCCACCATGGTTCATGTACCTGATGGGGATAACTAACACTGGTCTGCATGGTCTCCTTCAGGCTATCAGATCCATCCAAGCTGTAGACTGCTCCTGTCAAATACAACTTGGAAAAAAATACAGACTGGATTAATACCACATTAACTAACAAACAAGCAGCCAACTACCCCCTCTTTGAAAAAACCCACCTAATATACAAGGCTGAGCCTGGAGGGAAAGGCTTTTGTCATGCAGTGGGATCAGCATGAGTAACAGTGTTGGAACCCAGAAGCCTGTGAGTTTTGAACTTTCTGTGCTTTCTGACACTGATCCCCAGGAGAACACTGCTTTTGACTTGAGGCCTTGGAGAAGGCTTCCAAATTTGAGTGATGGAGTTAAAACCATGGGTGTGTAGTGGAATAGAGGTGTGTGCGGTGTCACATGGTGAGGGGTTTGGAATTTAGGGATTTTAGAATATAGTAATAGGTATGGGACAAGATGGATGTTCTTATTCCTAGTTTCAGGTAGTAATTTTTGGCTGGATAGTTAGTGCTGCAGTGCGGGTCACGGGTGTTTGGTTATTGGGTCAAGACTATAAATAATATAGATGTTAGTTCTTTATTGAACTAACCTCTTACAAGGTGGTTACCTAACAGTACAAGTGTAAGGAAAGGAATCCCTGTCAGGGGAGGTGTGACTTCTCAAGGAAAAGGCAGAAGTTTTTTTCTAGTTTTCCACCTGCTTAATCACACTCCATTGTCTAAGAACAGGTTTGGTAGGGTCAGAGGCAATACTTTCAGATCTCAGGACAACATGAAATAAGCAGCAGGGGTGGAGGGGGAATCTAGTATATAAGGGAATTTTCTGAAAGACAGCTTCATTTGCCAGACCCATTCTTGTACTTCTACTTTGGACAAAAACACAGAAGGGTCAAGTCAGGAGACTACTGGCTCTAACTGCCTATAAAGATACCTGCTGAAATTAGCTTCAGGAAAAGATGGAAACATACACACACTTGGAATAGGTTTTCAGAAAAAATCCATGAAAAATACAAAGTACTCCTCACCTGGCCATCCTTCATCAGGGTGTTGACAGCAACAGGGACGCTACATCCACCCTCCTAAAACACAAAGCAGCTGACACTGAGGCTCCTACTCAACACATTCAAAGCAGAGGCCTCTGAAGAGTTTAGGCTGCACACAACCCTGCCCATCACTCTTCGGGCCCTTTTCGATTCAGAAGTACTCTCCTTTGCAGTTTTAGAGAAGTGTAACAGATTTCCCATACTATGGCATCAAGTCAACTAGCAGATCAGTATTTAGTGCTGCAGGCAGAGCAAGGGTGCCAGACCTACCAAACGCTTCATAAAGGCTCTCTCAGCAATGCAGCACAACACAGTGTCTGCATCATGCAGGGCAGATACCATATTCAGTATCTCTTGGTCTTTGGCACGAACTTCCACTGCTAAGGCACCCTAGAAGAAGAAACATACAACAAAATATAACAGTTCTTCAGCTTCATGCATCTGCATGTGTACTCAGCATTGTTCATGAAACAGAACTCAGAGGCTCCAGACCCTTTTCACTTACGGAGTTAACATTCACAGAAATTAGTTACAATATACTCCACTGGCTGCAGGGTTGTCCTACAGTAGCTGCTATAAACAGAAGATCAGGATTTTTTCAGCCAAGTGTTAAAGATCATGCTGCCACCTCAAACCACTCTAGAACTCTGCACAGTACTTGACAAAAACATGATCAAAATCACTTTTTCAGACTGAATGAGCAGATTCATCACTTGCAATCACTAACAGATCACCAGCTCTGGTTTAGCAAGTTTGATACTAGCAGGGCAATCCTGTGTAAGCTCAGCCATGCAGCCAGCAGGGACTGGAACAGTCTGCCCACCTAAAAACAGGAGCACAAAGAATGTGCTCCAGGACAGGTGCTTCAGCTCCACCCTGCAGGAGTCAGGACACCATGCACAAAGAAGGGAGCATCACAGAGCAAAGATACTGCAGCAGGTTTGCACAGTTATCCTGGTGCAGCATAATATTGACCCTACCAGAATCTGCCCCTTATCTGTTGTGTTGCCCCACTGTAGCTGTGCATGGATTACCTTTCCTATTTACTGTTTTTCTATTACTAATAGGAATCAGCCCCTAACACACTGGGTAGGAGAGCAGACTCCCATTCTTCTAACAAGCTGTGCCTAAAATAGTGTAACAGCCAACAAAAGAGATCAAAGTACTTTTCTGGTAAACAAAATATGAGAAGTCTTCAGCACAGTTAACTACTCAGATATATCATATTGCTGCTGACTTTCAGTGCCCTTTAAGCATGCCTTAAGGAATAAAAGTTGTAAAGTACCTGTCCAACAGCATAAAGACAATCTTCAGGGCTTAGGAGCTGGAAGAAAGTAAAAGCAAGAGTTAACTCAAGTTGCACTGTTCACAATATAAGAAAATAGAGCCAGATTCCTGTCTCTAATACTAAATGATTTCATGTCAGACCAAAGAAATATCACTTCTCCCTTCCCATGCTTCAGTGTTTCCATCACAAAAGTGAGACAATGCACTTTCCATCAAATGGAGTGTAACACTTCGTGAATTAGCTAATCACTAAACTCTCAGCCTTGCACACTGCTGCATTGCTAGACACAAGGGATGTGAAGTGCTAGGAGACAATCAGATTACAAACTGTTACTGAACCATGGAAAGCTGAACATGAAAAATTTCTATATGAAGAAAAAGACAACCAACCAGAAAACCCAACCGCTCCTTCCTGAAGTGCCTCAAATCAAAGCTAGCATGGCAATGTAGTCAGGAGATTGTATGCTTGTCTTGGACAGGAGGTCTGAAAGCCAAACAGTTGATAGTTCAGCAGAGAATGGTATTTTCTGCTTTGCTGTGCCTCACCTGGCCAATGCGACTTTCCCAGCCCATTCTCTTCAGCCCAGCAGCAGCCAGGATGATGGCACTGAAGTCTTCCTTCTCATCTAGCTTCTTTAAACGGGTATTTAAGTTTCCTCTCTGTAGAAGTGATTAAGCAAGCATAGAAACAGCAGGCAAACAGTCCTACAACCACTTGAGTCTTTACAGACTGTACAGAATCCAATAGTCTCCAAATGAGAATGTCAGTACCATCCTGAAAGAAGTGTTAAATATGTACAATTGTTTCTTAAAATAGAGTTTTTCCAAGCATTATGGAATATTAATTTAAGTGCTGAGTCTACTAAGTTGAAGTACACTATTAGCACCCAACTCCTGCACTGCAAAGAACTCCACTCCTAGGACTGAGGTAACAATGCCTTTTCTCAGTAGGTCAGCCACCCACATCGGAACTCGTGGTCCGAAGTACATCCAGGGTTACTGGAAACCCAGCAACATCTGGTCACGCACCGGTGGCAAACGCATGGGAAGCACCGTCACAGTTTTTCAAACACTGCAAAACATACAACTCATCTGTATGCTGAACCCCCAGCTAGATCAAGGCTGGCTGCTTCTTCACAGCCTCATGAGAAAGCAGAGAACAGGATGGCTACAGTGCTACCTCCCCCTCAGAACAGGGTAGTGGAGAACAGCTTTTCAGGAAGCAGTTTGTTCTTGTAAGTCAGGTGGCACAAATCAGCCTCGAATTTAGATTTTACACGAAGTTGTACTCTCCTGTTTGCAGCTTTACCTAGCTCCTATGGCTTCCCAGGAAAGGATACAATATCCCTGAATTCTAAATGAGGGAACTTCTTCTTGAGCTGAGCTGCTCTCCGAAGTGAACTGGTTCCAATCACACTGCAGGAAAAAATATAATCACTGAAATCCACAACACTCCTAACAATTACCTCTAGCCCAATATATGACAGACGGTTCAAGGAAACAAACTGTAACTTGGTAACTTTTTTTTTTTTTTAAGTTGAAATGAAGATCAAAAAAACAGTCAGTGATTTGTATCTCCTCAGAAGAAAGAAAACCACTCTGTGCAGTTTAGCATAAAGCATGTCTGAAGCCACTCCCCAGGAGCCATTTTACAGGATATGCTTTTGACGAGCAGTCCCTAGCCACTGATGAAACCTTACTGAAAGACAACATTTTTCACAGAAAAAAGATTCTGCTGCTCCAAAATGAACCAAACAAAGCCAGGCAACTAAGTGATGAAGTGACTAAAATGGAGGAACTTCATCAAAGACAGAACTGCCTTAAGCAGATTATATGCCTACTGCATATTATTGCTGGTTTGGAAGGGACCCATCAGGATCACTGACTTCCAACTCCTAGCCCTGTACAGGACACCCCAAGAAGTCCACCATGTCTCTGAAAGCATTGTCCAAATACTCCTTGATCTCTGTCAGGCTTGGTGCTGTGACCACTTCCCTAAGGAGCCCGTTCTAGTGCTGAACTACTCTCTGGGTGATGAACCTTTTCCTGATATCCAACCTAGACCTCCATTGATTCAGCTTCATGCAGTTTCCTTGAGTCCTGTCACTGGTCATGAGACTGACAAAACCAGTACGTGCCCTTCTGCTTCCTCCTTTTGGTAACCTGAAAACTAAACCAGATGTGATTTTCCTGCTATCCAAAGGCACAGAAGCACAAGTCTTTGTGTCACAGCTACTTTATTTCTTTCACTCTACCTATTAAAAAAAAAAAAAAAAAAAAAACAAACCTTCTAATAGCTACCGTGATCTAAGTAGTTTCACTCATCTGTCTCACACAAGAGATTCCAATAACCTCTATAGAAAGACAGGTCATTAAAAATGGAGAAACCACAAGAAAGTGATGCCAAAAAAACAAAGAAAAAATCAGAATTGGCTGAGTGAGAACAGAAGCATAGTTCAGGTCCATGAAAGCCAAAATCCTGCACCAGATGCTGTCCGCATTGTGTCCATTCCCCACCAGTAAGCAGAACACCAAGGAGCACGAATTCACTCGAGAGATCGTGGCAAGAATGTTCTAACTTGAGAGAGAATTGCCACGCAAGGATGGCTTAAGAGATGAACCTCACTCACTATGCAGCACTTCTGTGAGACAGTGTTACTTTTTCCAGCAAGTGGGTTCAGGTTAACGTCTGTGGAATGCTCACAAAAGGCAGTGCAAAACCACTACATAATAAAGCAATGAGCTGACTGACTTGCCAATGGAAAATACCAACCAACTGACCTCTTCTGTTTTTATGCCTGTCTTCCCTTTCTTCTCCCACTCACCTCTTTTCAGGAAGGAGGCTCAGTGTTTTTCCACAGTTTTTGGGATGAAAGACAACAGCATCAAGTGGGTTTTCCCTTCTGCAAAATAATGCAAGTGCAGAATGCCTGACACATCATTTAAGGCATGGCCACTAAGCTCAACAGTTCTGCAATCATTTCTTGCAAGAACTGCCTCTGGCTCCAAAATACTCCATCATCACTGTACAAGCAAGAATTTCCAGCACACCTGCTAGCTGTGGAACACTAGGGCAGCCCTAGTGCTTCACTAGAGCTTCCACTATTTTGGAGATTAATCACAGGAAACTTTGAACACCTGAAAGTACCTATGCTGCCTTTGCTCTCCTTTACCAACACTATAAAATGCAAGACCCTCAGAGAATCAAGCCTCATGTCCATACTTACTTGCAGACAGCGCCAATCGTAAAGCCAGGAGGAAGACAAGTTGGCAGGTCCTTCAGGGAGTGAACCACAAGGTCAACTCTAAAAATTAGAGGATAGTAATCAGAGAACAGATGGTGAAGCTCATGTGGATCTACCAGAGGCCTGCAGGTCACCTACAGAAAAGTTTGAACCCACTCTGGGAATTAACTTGGAGAAGAATTTCAGGATTCCATAGCCAGGATTACTATACAACTTTTGTGTTACTCCTAAAAAGCTATTTTATCTTTCTCTGTCTCTCTTTTCCCCTCACCCAGCAATGAAAGACACTTAACAAGCAATCAGATTGAATGAGGGGAAGATGCTGGAGATGGTCACACAGAAAGACTCACTGTACCAAAATACATCAGTATGTGGGTTGGTATTATGCTTCAAACGTTAAGTAACAGCAAGCCAAACTACAGGCTACCTGCCTTGTCAAACAGGAACCGAGCATAATTGTGAATACTTGAGTCTCCAATATTTTTTCACCAACTTCACTGAAAATGCAGTATGATGTAACTATGTGGCAGAGATGCAGAATACCTTTGTTTTCAAACATACTTTAACTAAGGCACTACAGAAATCCTCCTCAGAGTACTGAAAAGAAAGAGAGATTAACTAACAATTAAAATCCCCAGACACCTCAAACCCACAAAACCAGCACTAATCTCTCTCTGCTCAGGGAGCTAAAGCAAGGTTTTTTGTACGGAGAAGTTACACAGAACACAGCACAATTTGCCCATGCGAAATTCTCCTACACATTTAGATTGCATAAGTTAATAAATGTTAACATTTATAGGATAACACTAAATCTGTTTCGCAATACATTACCAACAACAGGCAAAGTATTAAAAAAAAAAATTATCCATAAACGGCACTCATATGAGATCACATCCTCTCTGTGTATTACAGCACGTAACACACAAACAATAACTGGGGCAGACCAAGTGACACAACTCCACTTCAAAATACATGGCCTAAGCCCAGGGTAGAGAGGAAAAAGAAGGGGAAAAAAGACAGGGACTTATCAAACTATTACGTTTTTTAGCCCGAGAGGTACCAGGACCGAAGGAAAGTAGATCACCTATGCAGCAAGCCAAATATGTCCAAAGAGCATGGAATGCCAAGGAGAAAAACAAAACAATAAGCTCTTACTCATTTCTTTCAAGTGCATTTTCCAACTCTTTGGTGAAGAGGCTCTTCTCTCCAATCTACACATAAATGGAAGAATATGAAGCACAAAATAAGCATCAGCCAATAATAACATAAATACAATTAGTTTTTGAATAAAGGAAGAACAGATCCTTTACCTTGGAAAGTGCTGTATCCAAGATCTTGTCCCCAGTTGTTGACATGGCCACTGCTCAGAGACAGTACAGGTAAAACATGAGGCCTGATAAAAGCACTGGGCTCAGGCTGAAAATATCTATACAAAATGCCATGAGCAGTCACACACTACTCGGTGAACACTGACTCAAGCTCAACACAAGAGCAGCTCACTTCTAGAAATACATTGCACTCAAGACAAGTGAAATTGAGATTTCTTTCACTGTCCTCAAAAACAAAAGCAAAGTGAAAGAGGGCAGGTTTGGGGAAGAGCTGACCCAATGGAAACTGCCACAGTCTGTCTCTGGAATGCCAATGAACACATATAAGACAGTTCTCTTCAGTGCAAGGCTGAGCTTCTATTATTCCTATCGAAAGCCTTGAGCCCCAGAACAGAAAATGCCCCTAATGCTCAGAGGGGCGCAGCCAGAACAATACCAGTTTGCAAAGGGAGCAACACACCACCATATCCCTCAAATACTCAGCACTTAAATCATCGAGAACTTATGAAATCCATCTACCTCCCCTAGAAGGAGCAGTTGTTCAGCCACACAACTGAACTGAATTCAGACGACATTCTCAAATAAACTTAGATAGACCTCCTCCTCCTGACTCTACACACATCTCTTGCACACAAAGATAATCCACTGGCTCCTGCTGCCATCTACCCAGGGCAACAGCCAAAAAAAACTTACCAATCTCAAAGCAGAGGTCAGGATATAGCTCACGGAGCATCATAACTACACTGTCAGTCTGAATCCGGGCCAGCTACAAGGAAGCAGAAAACAAGTCCTAAAGAAAGAGCATATTGTCCATACAGTAGCCAAGGAGGCTTTGCCATTCTTCCGCAGCCAGGGACGCATGACCAGTACATTCTCTCTAAATCAAAAGCATTAGAAATCGGTTGTCTCAAGTAAAATCGCTCCTAGGTACAAACTTCTTGAACTGTGTGAACTCCTATCACGACCAGAGGACTTCACTGAAGAACTTCTTTTATTGATTAAAGAGCCATATCTCCCCATATCCAGCAGTGATGCAACCACCGATGAAACAGTGCAATACATTTATCGAGTTAGGGAGAGTAACTACAACAGAAGCCTACAGACCATAATTCTCATGCTTTCACTTTTTGGTTTCACATATGTGGAACACAACTGCTGAATGATAACCGCTCATCATTACGTGGGCAGAAAAGTAAGCAAAACAATTATTCTATTGCTCAGTGATCAAAAAACAAGTCATATTGCACACTGGGCTAGGGTTAAGGTTAGGGTTAAAGCCTCCCGCTTTCTCTAAGACTACAGATTTTACCAATACTGCAAGCTTTGGGAGAAGCCAGTACGATTTCATTGAGCTGGCAGAAAACTCCAGTTACTGTCAAACACAAGTTACTTATCCTCTGTAAGAACAAAGATCTAGTTAGAGGTTCTACAAACACACACACAAAAGTAACAGCTCACATCATTGAGTACACCAAGAAACAAATCTCAAAGCAGTAAACTGCATGAAGAACATTCTATTGCATAAGAAAACCAGAAGCAAGTAAAATACAATCACTAGTGTATCATCTTTCTGCACATGCAAGCAGCAGGAGACTCAAGCTACTACAGATGAGTTTCAGCTTTTCTCCGACCGAAGGGTTCAGGACCCTTTGATAATTAACATAGTTCCAGGACTGCAGCTCCCTACAAACACAATGAATGTATGTAGCTGCCTCCGTTTGCAAACCCTTCGGTTATCACGAGGTAGCATATATGCACGGCTATCTCCCTTGTCCTGATGTCTACATAAAGTGCATTTGTGACAGCACGGAATTCTTCCTAGAACGTGTTACCAAAAGGAACGAGATTATCTCAGGGCAAAGGCCTGAGGGTCGCTTATCTCTCTTTGTGAGGCTGCTCCTCCCTGCTGTAGCCCGCTGGCAAAAGATACCTCTTCTATCTCTGGTTATGTCCCTTCCCTGGCCTTTGAGCGGGCTGCAACCATCAGTCATCGGGGGATGACAGCTACAAGAGCTGCACAGACTTTGCAAGTTGCACAGTCCAAGGGGGACCCAGGAGAAACCCGCGCCGTCGGCCCCGGCCCCCGCACCGCGGCAGCGCTAACAGAGCTGACCGTCTCCTGGGTTCCGAAGAACGAGAAGAAATTTGGAAAGCCCTGAGTTCCACGGCAGGAGTCGAAATGCGCGAACTCAGGAAGTTCAGGCCGTTCTTCGGCCCCGAGAAGCCCGCAGACCCTGCGCTGCCCGGGATGAACGGCGTGCCCGGACAGGAGCATTCCTCGCATCTCAGCCCTGCCGCTGCCTACCTGGCTCCGGCGGGTGCCCACGCGGATCGCTCTGCCATCCACGCCGTTCTCTCCGTGCGGCAGCAAAGGGTCGGCGCCCGCCCCGTCGACCCCCCCGCCAGACTCCGCTTGCCCCAGGCCCACAGCAAGCGCCGCCGGCTCCGCCATGTCCACCGGCCCAGCCCGGCACCCACCACGTGACCGGCGGCCTCGCCCCCGCCGGCTGACCACGTGACCACGCCCTGGCGCGCCCGCACGAGCAGCGGCGCGGGAAAAGCTCCGCCCCCGATACCCCGCCCCCCGCACTCCCGGAGCGCCGCCCGGCCGGGCTGCAGTGAGGGCCGGGCACGGCACTGCCCGGCCAGTCTGGTTTATTGAGGACCAAGGCATGAAAACAAATACAGGTGGCCGCGGACACTTCGGGCCACCGTACAACACGAGAGGGCATGTGGACAGGGCCTGGAGTCAGGTACTGCGCTTGGTGTGGATGAGCAACTCCCGCTGCAGGCCAGCCTCGATCGTAGTAGCCGTCTTTCCCGAGGGCAAGTCCGTGATCAGGGTGAGCTTATTGAAGACACCGCGACCAAAGTAGTCAGCAACGACTGAGAAGCCATCGTTTGAACACTTGAGCTGCCAGACACAAAGCAGCAGCAGCATCAGCAAAAGCCTCAAGTGCCTCCTGCCTCTAGTCCCCTTCCTTTCTTCCCCTGCACTTAGAAGCCTCTGGCTTAGGGGACAGGGCAGCCCATGTCAGTCCCTGGCTCTTCGCTCATTCCATGCAAGGGCTGAGTGTAGCAGAAGAACCTGCTAGATTTTCTGGCACTGGCATTCCAACTCCTGCTTCAACCCCACTTTTGAGCCATGCATGGAGCAGATAATGAGCAACTGAATTAAGCAGGAAGGCGAGTGCCTCAACTGCTCTAGTTTCCACATGTGTTAACATTTTCCAGCTGATGTCCCATTCTCACACTCACCATTTATTTCATCCTTGGGCAACACAAGATAGATGCAACGTTTTGGTGCTGTCCCCATTCCAACTCACACTATTCTTCTCCCTTTCTCACTAATTAGTTATATACAACCCGTTGACCAGCTGTCACACTGACCAATAGGTCTTGAGACCCAACTGAGGGTCAGATGAGAACAGATGCTCTCTTTCACCTTCACAGAGCCAACAATGACTCTTCATGTGCTTTACGCAATGCAGTCACCCTAGGGTCTAACGCCTCATTATCCAGTTAACATAACCTTGTTTACAAAATACTTTTAAGCCTTACCTGTCTCTACCAGCCTCCATTTACAGGTGTGTATATGAATCTCAACTCTATTTATTTCAGCTTGGTAAGATAGGCAATGTTACCCTACCTGATGCTGAAACTGGTCATGCAGATCTCTCTTCTGCTCCTGGGCTCGGATCATATCCATCACTTTGCGATTTTCTGGCATGCAAGTAGGACATTCTGAATCACTCTCAGAGTAGCTTTCAAAGCAGTGCTGGTGAAAGGAATGACCGCACAGGAAGTGGACTGAAGGGAGCTCCAATGCACTGGTGCAAATGCTACACTTGGTCTTCTGAAAAATCTTGGGACTGAGTGACAAGATGGAGAGGCATGAGAAAGACAAACTACACTTTTACCTTACTAAAAGAAAACAGCAGTTCTATCCTTGTATAGGACTAGACGAGACAGCACACAGTCCTGCACCTTGCTTTTAGCTCTTCAATTTCCAGGCGGATCCTTGTAGTTTCTTCTCGGTATTTCTGAATTCTCTGCTCATCCTGCTCTATCTGGCGACTTTGCTTCTGCAGCTTGTTGACAAGATAATCCTTGATCACAGACAGGGTGGCTGTGGAGTTATGAGCCAGCGTCTGCACAACTGAGAGCAACTGAGATGTTAGTTTAAACATAAGCACAAAAAACTGAAGCTATGCTTGTAATGCTAGGGCAGACTGCTTTCCTGGGACAGGCCACTTGCAGGCAAAGACAGTTGGCATTCTCATGGAATTGGAAGAGCTCACTTAAAGATTCTCTTTCACTTTGACCTCTTCCAGAAATGGGCAACTGGGAGCATGTCTGGATAACTCAGACCAAAAGGGACATAGGCAGGATCTAATCGTGGATTGGATTCTAGCTCTCCACCAAGGCACAACAGGAGTTTCAGCACGCCCTGCACTGCCCCACACTGATAAAACACAAATCATGTACGAGACGTATCACTGATACTGCAGATCTTTTTCCCTAACTTTCCCTAACTAGCTGTGACTGACATAATTTTTCCCCATAGAGCAGGTTATTAATTCAAATGGTATGCTCCAATTTCATTGATTCTTCTAATGTCTGATCTACAAAAAGCACTACAAACTATTCTGGGTTGGAGTCTGTTGTGGTTTGTTTTTCTGGTTTTTGCTTGGGTTGGGTTTTGTTGTGGGGGAGGTTGAAGGTTGAGTGTCACATGTTATTACCAAGCAGCGGGGGCATAAGATTCTTGTTCTCGATGTGTTTCAGCACTGCAGCAATATACTCTTTGCAGTTCTCCTCCTTCCGTGCAAAGTAGCCAAGAGCCTGTTCCCAGAGACAAGCCTCTTGGTCGCCATACAACTCGCACACCTCAATCACCTTCTTGTACTGCTCATTCTGCATGTGGTAATGCATGATCTGTTGGAAACTATGGGAGAAAGACTCATCAGCTGCAACAATCCATCTTGCCCTTTGAGCTGTTACAGGGACCTCAGGTTTTCACCCAGCCATGCAATCCCCAGTGCAATCCCCAGACTCAAGCAGAAGTCAAATACAAGTCTTTTTTTTCCACTCTATGTAACTGTCTTGCTTCAACAGTGAGGCATTTCTGCAGAGCAATCATCTACCATTTCCATCTTGAGACACTAAAGAGGTCACTACCATTAATTGTACAGACATTTATGTCTCAGAAATCGCTGCAGTGGGGGCAACAGGAGAAGGACAGGACTCTAAAGACAAGAGTTGCTGGAGTCTGAAAAACAGAGGCCTCTCTGAGATCCTCAGAGAGAGATCAAAATGCAGGGATCAAATTAAAGCCTTTGGATGGATTAAAGTATATTAAGCCACACAGATATGAAATAGAGGTGCAAGCTTAACTTTTAAGTAAATTAAGTAAGTTTAAGTAAGTAAGAATATGTTTTAAGTGCCTTAAAAAGTAAAAGCCTTGAAATGTAGCGTGAAAAACAAGCTTCAGAACTCAAGAACAAAAACAAGTCTCAAAAACAAGTCTCACTCAGTGAAACCTCAAAAACATGGTTCCAGACATTATCAAAATATCGTAGGAATACTGCTTACATTTTCCACATAGAATAGATAGTCCATATGCGTAGATTATATGTAAACTTTCGTACTAAAAGATTAGAATTCTAATAGGTTTAGAAGAAATGCATCAGCTTCGTGGTTTAAGCTCATTGGGTAATTTGTAAACAAAAATCCATGTATTGGAGTGAAAGTTCGCTCTCTCACTCTTCCTCCACCATCATCATCATCATCACTACCACCACATGAAGAAAAAGAGGAAGAAAAAGAAGAAAAGAACAAGAAGAGAAGACCACGGAGCATCTGTCTCTCCAGACTTTCTACCAGGCTGCAGCCTCTGCCACTGCTCAGAACTCAGTACTAGGCTGCAACTCTGGCCTTCTCGGGGCCTTGCACCAAGAGCTGCTTCTACTTCTAATTGGGACTTCTACTCGGGACTCTATGCTAAAGGCTTTTAACACTTGGGACTCTTTGCCTTTTGAGACTGATGTGCCTTTACAATAAAGAACTTTATAGCAACTAACAACTGCTCTGCTCTTTTGAAGATTTAAACCCAAAACAATCCCGACAAAGAGTAACACTCACAGCTTGCCCTGCTCATAGAGGTAGAGAACACCATCTTTGAAATTGTGCATCTGACATAAGACTAAGGTCTTATCAAAGACTGTTTTGAACCTTCCACTCTTCAGGAGGGTGAGGGCTTCATTGTGCAACTTCTCCTTGATCTACAAAGAAGAGGGAGAGGTCAAGAAGAGGAACACAGGCACACTCACATCCACACTATTTTGCACTAAGACCTGACAATTTGGAGCTCTTTGACATGTTTTGGTACTTGTTCTTTAACCCTTTTAAAGCAAGTCGGACATGATTTTCTTTGCCCAGACAGCCAACACCCTCACAGACCGAGGCAAGCAAGTAAAGATACTTTTGTGGGCAAGGCATCTGTTCAGAGGCTGTATTGTCTGGAATCTGTACTTAAATGAAATACAAACAAAACAAGCTCAGCCATCCTGAAGGGAATATTCTCCCAGCTACTAGGCTGCTTTCCCATTTCTGTGCTATTTGTTGAGCACAGCATATGTACTGCCTCATGTTATCAATGCCCAGACAGAAAGAGCTCTGCAGGAATGCAAATCTTTCTCTCAAAACAATGCTGGAGGAGCTCAAACCTGCTCATCTTGTTCATGTGCCCAGTTCTGCAATCGAAGTTCCAGTAAAGTGTCATNAAAAAGACAGGGACTTATCAAACTATTACGTTTTTTAGCCCGAGAGGTACCAGGACCGAAGGAAAGTAGATCACCTATGCAGCAAGCCAAATATGTCCAAAGAGCATGGAATGCCAAGGAGAAAAACAAAACAATAAGCTCTTACTCATTTCTTTCAAGTGCATTTTCCAACTCTTTGGTGAAGAGGCTCTTCTCTCCAATCTACACATAAATGGAAGAATATGAAGCACAAAATAAGCATCAGCCAATAATAACATAAATACAATTAGTTTTTGAATAAAGGAAGAACAGATCCTTTACCTTGGAAAGTGCTGTATCCAAGATCTTGTCCCCAGTTGTTGACATGGCCACTGCTCAGAGACAGTACAGGTAAAACATGAGGCCTGATAAAAGCACTGGGCTCAGGCTGAAAATATCTATACAAAATGCCATGAGCAGTCACACACTACTCGGTGAACACTGACTCAAGCTCAACACAAGAGCAGCTCACTTCTAGAAATACATTGCACTCAAGACAAGTGAAATTGAGATTTCTTTCACTGTCCTCAAAAACAAAAGCAAAGTGAAAGAGGGCAGGTTTGGGGAAGAGCTGACCCAATGGAAACTGCCACAGTCTGTCTCTGGAATGCCAATGAACACATGTAAGACAGTTCTCTTCAGTGCAAGGCTGAGCTTCTATTATTCCTATCGAAAGCCTTGAGCCCCAGAACAGAAAATGCCCCTAATGCTCAGAGGGGCGCAGCCAGAACAATACCAGTTTGCAAAGGGAGCAACACACCACCATATCCCTCAAATACTCAGCACTTAAATCATCGAGAACTTATGAAATCCATCTACCTCCCCTAGAAGGAGCAGTTGTTCAGCCACACAACTGAACTGAATTCAGACGACATTCTCAAATAAACTTAGATAGACCTCCTCCTCCTGACTCTACACACATCTCTTGCACACAAAGATAATCCACTGGCTCCTGCTGCCATCTACCCAGGGCAACAGCCAAAAAAAACTTACCAATCTCAAAGCAGAGGTCAGGATATAGCTCACGGAGCATCATAACTACACTGTCAGTCTGAATCCGGGCCAGCTACAAGGAAGCAGAAAACAAGTCCTAAAGAAAGAGCATATTGTCCATACAGTAGCCAAGGAGGCTTTGCCATTCTTCCGCAGCCAGGGACGCATGACCAGTACATTCTCTCTAAATCAAAAGCATTAGAAATCGGTTGTCTCAAGTAAAATCGCTCCTAGGTACAAACTTCTTGAACTGTGTGAACTCCTATCACGACCAGAGGACTTCACTGAAGAACTTCTTTTATTGATTAAAGAGCCATATCTCCCCATATCCAGCAGTGATGCAACCACCGATGAAACAGTGCAATACATTTATCGAGTTAGGGAGAGTAACTACAACAGAAGCCTACAGACCATAATTCTCATGCTTTCACTTTTTGGTTTCACATATGTGGAACACAACTGCTGAATGATAACCGCTCATCATTACGTGGGCAGAAAAGTAAGCAAAACAATTATTCTATTGCTCAGTGATCAAAAAACAAGTCATATTGCACACTGGGCTAGGGTTAAGGTTAGGGTTAAAGCCTCCCGCTTTCTCTAAGACTACAGATTTTACCAATACTGCAAGCTTTGGGAGAAGCCAGTACGATTTCATTGAGCTGGCAGAAAACTCCAGTTACTGTCAAACACAAGTTACTTATCCTCTGTAAGAACAAAGATCTAGTTAGAGGTTCTACAAACACACACACAAAAGTAACAGCTCACATCATTGAGTACACCAAGAAACAAATCTCAAAGCAGTAAACTGCATGAAGAACATTCTATTGCATAAGAAAACCAGAAGCAAGTAAAATACAATCACTAGTGTATCATCTTTCTGCACATGCAAGCAGCAGGAGACTCAAGCTACTACAGATGAGTTTCAGCTTTTCTCCGACCGAAGGGTTCAGGACCCTTTGATAATTAACATAGTTCCAGGACTGCAGCTCCCTACAAACACAATGAATGTATGTAGCTGCCTCCGTTTGCAAACCCTTCGGTTATCACGAGGTAGCATATATGCACGGCTATCTCCCTTGTCCTGATGTCTACATAAAGTGCATTTGTGACAGCACGGAATTCTTCCTAGAACGTGTTACCAAAAGGAACGAGATTATCTCAGGGCAAAGGCCTGAGGGTCGCTTATCTCTCTTTGTGAGGCTGCTCCTCCCTGCTGTAGCCCGCTGGCAAAAGATACCTCTTCTATCTCTGGTTATGTCCCTTCCCTGGCCTTTGAGCGGGCTGCAACCATCAGTCATCGGGGGATGACAGCTACAAGAGCTGCACAGACTTTGCAAGTTGCACAGTCCAAGGGGGACCCAGGAGAAACCCGCGCCGTCGGCCCCGGCCCCCGCACCGCGGCAGCGCTAACAGAGCTGACCGTCTCCTGGGTTCCGAAGAACGAGAAGAAATTTGGAAAGCCCTGAGTTCCACGGCAGGAGTCGAAATGCGCGAACTCAGGAAGTTCAGGCCGTTCTTCGGCCCCGAGAAGCCCGCAGACCCTGCGCTGCCCGGGATGAACGGCGTGCCCGGACAGGAGCATTCCTCGCATCTCAGCCCTGCCGCTGCCTACCTGGCTCCGGCGGGTGCCCACGCGGATCGCTCTGCCATCCACGCCGTTCTCTCCGTGCGGCAGCAAAGGGTCGGCGCCCGCCCCGTCGACCCCCCCGCCAGACTCCGCTTGCCCCAGGCCCACAGCAAGCGCCGCCGGCTCCGCCATGTCCACCGGCCCAGCCCGGCACCCACCACGTGACCGGCGGCCTCGCCCCCGCCGGCTGACCACGTGACCACGCCCTGGCGCGCCCGCACGAGCAGCGGCGCGGGAAAAGCTCCGCCCCCGATACCCCGCCCCCCGCACTCCCGGAGCGCCGCCCGGCCGGGCTGCAGTGAGGGCCGGGCACGGCACTGCCCGGCCAGTCTGGTTTATTGAGGACCAAGGCATGAAAACAAATACAGGTGGCCGCGGACACTTCGGGCCACCGTACAACACGAGAGGGCATGTGGACAGGGCCTGGAGTCAGGTACTGCGCTTGGTGTGGATGAGCAACTCCCGCTGCAGGCCAGCCTCGATCGTAGTAGCCGTCTTTCCCGAGGGCAAGTCCGTGATCAGGGTGAGCTTATTGAAGACACCGCGACCAAAGTAGTCAGCAACGACTGAGAAGCCATCGTTTGAACACTTGAGCTGCCAGACACAAAGCAGCAGCAGCATCAGCAAAAGCCTCAAGTGCCTCCTGCCTCTAGTCCCCTTCCTTTCTTCCCCTGCACTTAGAAGCCTCTGGCTTAGGGGACAGGGCAGCCCATGTCAGTCCCTGGCTCTTCGCTCATTCCATGCAAGGGCTGAGTGTAGCAGAAGAACCTGCTAGATTTTCTGGCACTGGCATTCCAACTCCTGCTTCAACCCCACTTTTGAGCCATGCATGGAGCAGATAATGAGCAACTGAATTAAGCAGGAAGGCGAGTGCCTCAACTGCTCTAGTTTCCACATGTGTTAACATTTTCCAGCTGATGTCCCATTCTCACACTCACCATTTATTTCATCCTTGGGCAACACAAGATAGATGCAACGTTTTGGTGCTGTCCCCATTCCAACTCACACTATTCTTCTCCCTTTCTCACTAATTAGTTATATACAACCCGTTGACCAGCTGTCACACTGACCAATAGGTCTTGAGACCCAACTGAGGGTCAGATGAGAACAGATGCTCTCTTTCACCTTCACAGAGCCAACAATGACTCTTCATGTGCTTTACGCAATGCAGTCACCCTAGGGTCTAACGCCTCATTATCCAGTTAACATAACCTTGTTTACAAAATACTTTTAAGCCTTACCTGTCTCTACCAGCCTCCATTTACAGGTGTGTATATGAATCTCAACTCTATTTATTTCAGCTTGGTAAGATAGGCAATGTTACCCTACCTGATGCTGAAACTGGTCATGCAGATCTCTCTTCTGCTCCTGGGCTCGGATCATATCCATCACTTTGCGATTTTCTGGCATGCAAGTAGGACATTCTGAATCACTCTCAGAGTAGCTTTCAAAGCAGTGCTGGTGAAAGGAATGACCGCACAGGAAGTGGACTGAAGGGAGCTCCAATGCACTGGTGCAAATGCTACACTTGGTCTTCTGAAAAATCTTGGGACTGAGTGACAAGATGGAGAGGCATGAGAAAGACAAACTACACTTTTACCTTACTAAAAGAAAACAGCAGTTCTATCCTTGTATAGGACTAGACGAGACAGCACACAGTCCTGCACCTTGCTTTTAGCTCTTCAATTTCCAGGCGGATCCTTGTAGTTTCTTCTCGGTATTTCTGAATTCTCTGCTCATCCTGCTCTATCTGGCGACTTTGCTTCTGCAGCTTGTTGACAAGATAATCCTTGATCACAGACAGGGTGGCTGTGGAGTTATGAGCCAGCGTCTGCACAACTGAGAGCAACTGAGATGTTAGTTTAAACATAAGCACAAAAAACTGAAGCTATGCTTGTAATGCTAGGGCAGACTGCTTTCCTGGGACAGGCCACTTGCAGGCAAAGACAGTTGGCATTCTCATGGAATTGGAAGAGCTCACTTAAAGATTCTCTTTCACTTTGACCTCTTCCAGAAATGGGCAACTGGGAGCATGTCTGGATAACTCAGACCAAAAGGGACATAGGCAGGATCTAATCGTGGATTGGATTCTAGCTCTCCACCAAGGCACAACAGGAGTTTCAGCACGCCCTGCACTGCCCCACACTGATAAAACACAAATCATGTACGAGACGTATCACTGATACTGCAGATCTTTTTCCCTAACTTTCCCTAACTAGCTGTGACTGACATAATTTTTCCCCATAGAGCAGGTTATTAATTCAAATGGTATGCTCCAATTTCATTGATTCTTCTAATGTCTGATCTACAAAAAGCACTACAAACTATTCTGGGTTGGAGTCTGTTGTGGTTTGTTTTTCTGGTTTTTGCTTGGGTTGGGTTTTGTTGTGGGGGAGGTTGAAGGTTGAGTGTCACATGTTATTACCAAGCAGCGGGGGCATAAGATTCTTGTTCTCGATGTGTTTCAGCACTGCAGCAATATACTCTTTGCAGTTCTCCTCCTTCCGTGCAAAGTAGCCAAGAGCCTGTTCCCAGAGACAAGCCTCTTGGTCGCCATACAACTCGCACACCTCAATCACCTTCTTGTACTGCTCATTCTGCATGTGGTAATGCATGATCTGTTGGAAACTATGGGAGAAAGACTCATCAGCTGCAACAATCCATCTTGCCCTTTGAGCTGTTACAGGGACCTCAGGTTTTCACCCAGCCATGCAATCCCCAGTGCAATCCCCAGACTCAAGCAGAAGTCAAATACAAGTCTTTTTTTTCCACTCTATGTAACTGTCTTGCTTCAACAGTGAGGCATTTCTGCAGAGCAATCATCTACCATTTCCATCTTGAGACACTAAAGAGGTCACTACCATTAATTGTACAGACATTTATGTCTCAGAAATCGCTGCAGTGGGGGCAACAGGAGAAGGACAGGACTCTAAAGACAAGAGTTGCTGGAGTCTGAAAAACAGAGGCCTCTCTGAGATCCTCAGAGAGAGATCAAAATGCAGGGATCAAATTAAAGCCTTTGGATGGATTAAAGTATATTAAGCCACACAGATATGAAATAGAGGTGCAAGCTTAACTTTTAAGTAAATTAAGTAAGTTTAAGTAAGTAAGAATATGTTTTAAGTGCCTTAAAAAGTAAAAGCCTTGAAATGTAGCGTGAAAAACAAGCTTCAGAACTCAAGAACAAAAACAAGTCTCAAAAACAAGTCTCACTCAGTGAAACCTCAAAAACATGGTTCCAGACATTATCAAAATATCGTAGGAATACTGCTTACATTTTCCACATAGAATAGATAGTCCATATGCGTAGATTATATGTAAACTTTCGTACTAAAAGATTAGAATTCTAATAGGTTTAGAAGAAATGCATCAGCTTCGTGGTTTAAGCTCATTGGGTAATTTGTAAACAAAAATCCATGTATTGGAGTGAAAGTTCGCTCTCTCACTCTTCCTCCACCATCATCATCATCATCACTACCACCACATGAAGAAAAAGAGGAAGAAAAAGAAGAAAAGAACAAGAAGAGAAGACCACGGAGCATCTGTCTCTCCAGACTTTCTACCAGGCTGCAGCCTCTGCCACTGCTCAGAACTCAGTACTAGGCTGCAACTCTGGCCTTCTCGGGGCCTTGCACCAAGAGCTGCTTCTACTTCTAATTGGGACTTCTACTCGGGACTCTATGCTAAAGGCTTTTAACACTTGGGACTCTTTGCCTTTTGAGACTGATGTGCCTTTACAATAAAGAACTTTATAGCAACTAACAACTGCTCTGCTCTTTTGAAGATTTAAACCCAAAACAATCCCGACAAAGAGTAACACTCACAGCTTGCCCTGCTCATAGAGGTAGAGAACACCATCTTTGAAATTGTGCATCTGACATAAGACTAAGGTCTTATCAAAGACTGTTTTGAACCTTCCACTCTTCAGGAGGGTGAGGGCTTCATTGTGCAACTTCTCCTTGATCTACAAAGAAGAGGGAGAGGTCAAGAAGAGGAACACAGGCACACTCACATCCACACTATTTTGCACTAAGACCTGACAATTTGGAGCTCTTTGACATGTTTTGGTACTTGTTCTTTAACCCTTTTAAAGCAAGTCGGACATGATTTTCTTTGCCCAGACAGCCAACACCCTCACAGACCGAGGCAAGCAAGTAAAGATACTTTTGTGGGCAAGGCATCTGTTCAGAGGCTGTATTGTCTGGAATCTGTACTTAAATGAAATACAAACAAAACAAGCTCAGCCATCCTGAAGGGAATATTCTCCCAGCTACTAGGCTGCTTTCCCATTTCTGTGCTATTTGTTGAGCACAGCATATGTACTGCCTCATGTTATCAATGCCCAGACAGAAAGAGCTCTGCAAGACACCAAATCTTTCTCTCAAAACAATGCTGGAGGAGCTCAAACCTGCTCATCTTGTTCATGTGCCCAGTTCTGCAATCGAAGTTCCAGTAAAGTGTCATAGACACCCTGTGGAGAGTCAGCCTGCACCTCAGTCATGTGCTCCAGAAAAGCTTTCAGTTCTCGGGAGTTGTTTGCAAAGACTGGGATGAACTCCTCTGAATTAGCCTGTAAAACAGTCAGAAAAAGACAAGCACCCACATCAGTCTAAGCCATACTAGTGCTTCCTTCCTGCCTTGAGGAATGTTCATTTCCAGAGTCTCCAACAGGACAGATACAGCACAATACAGGATGCCGACAACATCAAGGATCAATCCTGAGCAATAGCTTTAAGAGGTCCCCTGCCTCTAGGACTATCAGTCCATCAGAATGAGGCTTCTCTTAGAATCATTGAATAGTTTGTGTGGGAAGGCAACTTTAAAGGTCATCTAGTCCAATATCCCTGCAAAGAGCAGGGACATCTTCCATTCAATCAGGTTGCTCAGGTCCTCATCCAACCTGACTCGAGTGTTTCCAGGTATGGGGCCATCTACTTCTCTTGGCAACTTGGTTCAGTGTTTCATCACCCTCATTATAAAAAGTTCATTTCTTTAATTTAGACTAAATCTGCCCTCTTTTACTTTAAAACTATTACCTCTTGTAGCATCACAACAGGCCCTGTAAAAAAGCTTGTCCTCATCTTTCCTATAAAATTTTTTTGAGTACTGAAAGGCTGCAGTGAGGTCTCCCT